CAGAAAGACAGGTTTTGGCCAGAATTGGCTGTGTGTCTTGGGCCATAGGCTTAGTGTGACTCCAAGTGGTAAGAAGGTAGACCGAATCGATCATGTTTAATCCTGGTGGATCCGTGCGCACTGGCACACACCTGTGCTGTGTCCCAGCCATGACCAAGCCACTGGGGGCCGTCAAGAAACCACCAATGAACAAATCCGACAGGCAGAGGAGAGGGAAAGGTGTTCAGAACAATTCCACAGAGGCCTCCGGACGGACAGGGGGAGAATGAATATGAGCAACGCAGACAGGTCACGGGGTGCTTCTCACCTTGCTCACTCATGTGCACTCTTCCTGCTTGAGGCTCGTCACCGCCCTGGCGTTGGTCAGCACATTGGCTCGCCCTGGTCTGGGCCCAGCTCCCCCTTGGCTGCTGCCTGGGAGGGGAGCAATGAGGAGGACCCTTTGGATGGGTGGGACACTGCCTTCCCGGCCCAGGTGTCTGGGCCGTTCACTGCCCCCAGCTGGCTGGTGACAGGAATCTGCAGACCCGCTGAGCGCCTTACTGCAGCCGCAAGGCTCTGAGGACGGCGGTCTGACACCGGCGTCTCCAGCCCGAGCCCCTTCCATTCCTCAGGGGCGCCCCGGATTTCCCAGGGGCTCCAAGGGCAGGCAAGGCACAGGCCAAGGCTGAGCAGCCACACGCTGCCTAGTGATGGTGGGCCCATGGGGTTATAGCAGCACTGGAGGACTCTTGTTCTGCAGTGACTGTGTGGCCACCGTAACCTCGTAGCACAGGGCACTGCTCCCACATGGCTGGCGGCACTGGTGCCCACAGCCCCACTGCACTGTCTGTTGTATAAACGTGCAGCACACGCAACTGCGTAGGACACGTGGCACCTGATGATGATGACAGACGACTGTGTTTGTGGCTTATCTATTTACTATACTGTTCTGACTATCGTCATTTCAGGGTGTGCTCTTTCTGCTCACAGAGTAAAGCTGGCTATGAAACGGCTGTGCCACGCTGGCCATGGCTTCCATCTCGTGGTCCACAGACTCCGTGCAGCCGAGGGCACGGGGTTGTGAAGTGAGCAGTCGTGTCCCGGCGAGGCCCTGTCAGTGGAAGGGGTGGCATCTCCAGACACTGAGCTCTGGGGTGTTTGTGCTGGAACAGCCCTGGAGCCGAGACCCTCGTTTTACATGTGACGGGCTTGGGGGGAAGATGACGGGGTGGCTGAGTGGGCGCAGGTGTCCCTCCAGTGGTGGATGACAGCTGGGACTGGACGGGGGCAGGTGCACCATGCGGTGAGCGCACCCATGCCACCCGAGGGTGCACTTCAGAATGGATGCGTGTCCTTTGTGTGCCCTTCTGCTCGACACAAACTAGAGCTCCGGAGAGCAGGAGCGGCCGCACGGGCCGGGCCCCAGCTGCCGCCGAGGGACTTGAGGACGCTTTGGGGTGCGGCTGCCATGCGGAGAGGCCCTGAGCCTCTTTAGGCTGCGGGTGCAGCGACCCCACAGAAGCACATCTGACTGAGCTGGCTTCCACTCAACATGCACCGGGCCACAGTGGCCTGGAGGCAGACGGTACGCGTTCTGACAAGTGACAGGACGGCCAGTGCAGGCCGAAGGTAGAGCTTCCCCGAGGGGTGGGGCCGCCGTGGTTACTTGCAGAAAAGCTCAGGTGGTGCGATTCCCAGTCGGTTTTCATCGATAGCCCCAAACAGTCACGGTGGCCCCTGACGGATCCCGCCCTGACCAACCCCTGAGCCCTCTCTCTGCTAACCCGGTGCCTCGCTCCAGTCGAGACCACGCAGAAGGGTGTCCTGGAGCAGGTGGGAGGGGCATCCCAAAGATTGGGAAATTCTAATGGGCACGTGCTCCGTCCCCTTCTCCCCTGCTGGAGCAGAGGGGGGCGCCCAGCCCAACGCCAGCCAGGGGACGCCTGTGCCCCGCTGCCCTCTGACTGCCTTCTCAGCTGCAGACGTGTCCCCCTCTGCCCTCGGTGTCCCACCTACGGTTGGCCCGGCGAGGACGGGACCCCCGTCGACAATTCACGCGGTGCCCACCGAGCTGGGTCGCAGTGAGCTCTGAGGGTGACACTCCTGCCCTGTCACCGGATTGATCCCGTTGGGACTGTGACTTCACGTCCGTCACCCCTGCCAACTCCTGTCCTATTTTGGGCATGATGGCGTCTGGCTCCCGCTGGAAGTTTCCACTGTGCCCGGGACCTCTGCCCGTGGGGACTTGGCACAGGGCTCTGCCTCGGTTGGCGTCCCTCTGCAGGGGCCGAAGGGACTGCCGGGGATGCTGATGGGCCAGGGCCAGCAGCCCTTCACCCAGCCTCCCTTAGCAGCGCACCAGGAAGTCTGCGCCCTCGGGTGACAACGAGCCCAGGCTGGCTGGTGAAGGGATGACAGAGGAGTGGGGGGCTGGGGCCGAGAGCGAGGCTGGCCCCACCTGTGCAAAGCTTTGAGGGAGGAGCTCAGAACGTGCATTTGTTCTCCAGCAGAAAACATGCCAGAACACACCGGAAAAGGAAGCCCACAAGGCAGCCATTACCCTCTACTGGCTGCATAATATGGAGGGCCCAGCGGGGGGGGGGGAGGGGGACCTTGTGAGCCCGCCCCTCCTCCTGGCTCTGGCTCTGGCTCTGGCTCTGGAGGCTGGTAGGACAGCGGGGCTCTCAGTTTGACCCGAGGTTCCCATCGTAAGTCTGTGCCAGGAGGATGCACGTGGGGCCTGTGCCGTCACAGGGGGCCATGCACCCGGGAGGGCCTGCGCTTGGGGTCGAGTGCTCTGCCACGGCCGTGGCTGTGCTGACATTCTGAGCCGTGTCCGTCCTGCATTGTGCTTCTTCAGTGACAGGTGGGACAGTGCAGCGGGTGCTGGGGGAGGGGACCGGAGCCAAGCCCCACCCACTTCTGTGACCCTTCCTCCCACCGCCTCCTAGGAGGAAAACAGGGAAACATTTCACATTTTCAGGACCTTGAACAGCACCGTCTCCAGCTGGTTGAGAGAGCTGTCCCACGTCTGCCTGGGACACAGGCCCCCAGAAACGGAAGCCTGCAGCTCAGCCTGCAGCTCAGCCAGCCTGCTCAGGGGCTGCCGGGTCCCCGGGCTCGGCAGGCTCACGGAGGCTCCTTGGGTCAGTGTGCATGACACACAATGTGAGCAAGTCACAGCAGCTTCTGCACACAAGGCCAGCTTCCGAGCCAGCCTCGCTGCGGCCACACGGCCACACGCACCTGCGGTCCACAGGCCGGGCGGGGCATGGTGGCCCCTCACAGCCAGAGACGCAGAGCCCGGGGGGGACACGTACCCACTTCTACCGTGACTGGGCGGAGTCGGGTTTTGTGTCTGCGGGATCCAACCACACACAATTAGGACCTGTTTTTTTTTTTTTTTTCCCAGTTCATTTTTTCTTGTAGTTGAGTCTCACTGGATTCTGCAGCTGCAGACTGGAGGGGCGGTGCTGGGTGTTGACCTGGAGGTGTCTCATTTAAGAGCTGCCCAGCCGTTCCGTCTCCAGGACTGAAGACTGCGGTCCGGCCCTTGGTCCTCGCTGCCCCTTCTCCAGCCCGCATCCCCCTCACCCGGCCACTGTGCATGGGGGCTGCACGGGAGAACCTCAGAGTCTTACAGTTCCGGAGAGGCAGGCCCGTGCCCATGTGAGTGCAAGCCCGCCTGCCACCAAAGGGGCTCCCTGCAGACCGAGGCCTCCCACCTGCTGCCCCGGATAAAGCAAAGCATTTTTATGTTCAAATCATACACTTTCCCCTTTAAGGTCAGGAGGAAATCCTCCAGTTGTGGCCCGTGAGTGTGTTTCGGCAAACTTGCTTTAAAGAACAGCCATCGGTCCTCCTCATTTTCTGCAGGCCTCCCCTCCTCCGGTGCCTTGGGGCTGTCCTCATGACCGCAGCCCGGGGGCCGGGGAGCCGGGGCGGCGACGACCGTGACCTGCCTCAGGCTGCCTGTCCCTGAACCAGACGGTGGCCGCTCCCCTGGGGAGGTGTGAACGTGAAGGGGGGCTCCTTAACACCGGACACCAGCACCTGACGGGGCCACAGAGGACAGAAAAGGGTTCTCCGTGCGTTACTGAATGGCCGGCTTCCATGTCTCATCCCTCCCCGTGTTCGTTCGATTTACTTGGGAAGTGGACACGGAGGAGGACAGGGCCGTGTGTTGAGCAGGGGCTGCAGCCGGCGGGGGCGCAGACCCCTGCGGGCCAGGCGGGGAGGGGAGCCGACAGCCGGGGCCGGGGGCCGGAAGCCGGGGGGCCGCGGGCTGCGGGGGACAACACACAGGACGGACGGAAGGGGGACACCTGTGAGCCGAGGGAACTGCGCCAGAAACGGCACCCAACCCACTTAGTGCTCACGGACTTCTATTTTTAGTGGCAGGGAACTTTAAACTGGGTCAGGACCTTGTGTCGTCAAAAAGAGCCAGCCTGCCAGCGAGGACGAAGGCTGGTCAGAGGACTCTTACCCCGTCCGGCCCTTCTCTGGCTTGCAGGGGCGTGAAGCCATGACCTTGGCCGTGCACCGACCCCTGCCCTTCCCGCTGTGAGGGCGGCGGCACCCTCTCCGTGCACGGGGAGTAGGGGGGCTGCCACACGGCCCCCCCCCCCAAGAAACACAGGCAGCCTGCAGACTGGAAGGTGCCACGCCAAGGAAGCCCAGAAGCCTGTGCTCGCCTGTGCGACCTCCAGTGCCGCCGCCGCCCCCGGTGTGACACCTCCCCGTGGAGGACCATCTCGGGACGTGCCTGACACCGCAGGCTTCACAAAACGTCCTGTGCCTGGGGCTTGCGTGGCTTCTGGCCTCCGTGTGGACAGGGCCCGCTCCGGGGCTGCATCCCCACGCCTCCGGCCCTCGCGGGCTCGGGCGGCTGGGCCCTGCTCCGGTGGGAACGGTTTCCGCTTGAGAAAACTGGGAAAACCAAGAATGAGCAGTTCTATTCGAAAGTTTTCTTTTACTAAAATAATGGAAACGGGAGCAGGAACAATCAACATTCCACGTTTTTTAAAAAAACCAAAAACACTTTATTTCCGAGGGCGGATGAGGATCCTCCTAGGCGACGACCAGAAAACAGTGGCCGTGGAACTGCGGGCCGGCCGGCCCTAATAAATAACGGGCGCCGCGTGTGTGCGGGGCTTCCGCAGCGCAGTGTGCGTCTCAATAAATAACCCGCTCGGGGCTGCGCAGCGCCAAGTTCCAGGCTGGCGTGTCGTGCAGTGGAACAAACTCTGCCCTGGGCACCCGTCTGCTACCGGCGCCCCCCGCAGTGGGCCAGCAGCGCCTGGCCCTCGGTGCCGGGAGGGTGGGAGTCCCCCGGGGGCTCTGGGCTGGTGTCCGGTGCCTCTGACCCACAAGGGCTTGGACGGCTTCATCACTGCTCACCGGTCACCGTGGCTGTCAGGTGGGCACAGAGCAGGAGGAACTGCCGGGGTCTTCGGGTGAGGGGGCGGGTCTAGGTTCTGTGTGCGTTTCTGACCCGGTGGTCAGGTTCTTGTCCTTGGGAGGTGGCTCTTCGCTGGTTGCTGTATGTGCCCTGACTGTCTTCCACACGGCATGTCCTGGTGTCCTCGGAGCCCCCGCCAGCGTGGCGCTCACCCCGATCTGAGACTCCGCCCCAGATACTTGAGGGGTGGAGGGCACCTGAGCGCCTCCCAGCAGCCCCTGCCAGGTGCCCGCCGCCCGGGCTGGGCTCAGCCACGGTGGCGGCGCGTCCTCAGCGCTGTCCCAAGCGCCACGGCTCGTCTAAAACAGTACCGGGAGTTCTCAGGGTGGCTTCCGTGTCTCTTCCAGGTGCGTGTGCAAAAGGCAAGAGTAAGTCATTCAACACAAACCCAGGATCCTTTCTTTGAACTTTCCCTTGGAGGACGATGGCGTGTGGAGGACAGGCCCAGCCTCCCTCTGCAGGAGCCGGCGGTCAGTGTTCCTTAAACCTGAGAGAAAAGGGCGACACGGCAGCCGGTGGGTGACACAGACAGCGGCGGTCAGAGGGCAGACGCTCAACCCCTGCCCTGCGCACCAGCCCCACCAGCCCGGCCCGGCCCAGCCCAGCCCAGCCCAGCCCAGCCTAGCCCAGCTTTCTGCCCCTGGGCAGTGGTCCTGCCGCCCGCCCCAGCCTCTGGGGACACAGGAGACAGGGCAGGCCAGGCTGAGGGCTGCAGCTGCTGCCATCTGTGTTAGAAAGCCAAGCCCCTGGGGACAAAGGAGGCAATTTCCCTCCCCATCACTCTCTCAGATCAGGAGGAGAGATTGCCAGGATCACACCCACCGAGGTATTTGTTAGGAAAGATGAAAGGGGAGCTGCCAGCCGCCCTCCCTCCTGGAGGGACAGCCAGGTGCGGGAGGCAGATAAGCCTGAGTGAAGTTCCAGAGCCGAGCCGCTCTAATTACTGGGGGAAGGGGCCGGGGATGGGGGGGGGGGCAGGGGGACTTACAGAACTTGGTCCTCTGTCGCTGACCCTGGGCAGCTCAGCTCCTTGTGTATGAGGCGGATAAGGAACTGCACCCAAACACAGACAAGGCCACCTGGTCAGGGCAGGGCCCCGGGTGCCGGCAGCACCTGTGGTCACCTCGTCACCTCGCAGGCTCGGCCCTGCCCCCGCTGCAGCCCCATGCCCACAGCAGCGGCTGCCGCTGACGACGCCCTGCGGGTCACTGTGTGGGGGGCGGGGACACGCTCCTGGCAACAAGGCTGCCAGGGCACATTTGAGCCTGTATGACCCTCGGGTGCGAGGAACGTTTACCATAAAATGAGCCCAATCATCAGACATCCAAACTGGAAAAAGAGTAAGGACAGGGTGACCCCCAGCCACGGTGGCACAAGCAGGGGACAGAGAGCCGCGCAGGCGACTGTGAAGGCCAGGTGAGCAGGCACGGGCCGCAGGGGGCTGAGCAGGCTGTCCTCGGAACAGCCCCCACCTCGGGCCCCGGGCGAGCCGCTGCTGCTGGCGGGCAAACTGGCGCTGGCCCCTTGCTCGGTCGGCCCCTTTTCCTGCACGGCCCTTTTCCTGCTGAAGGGCCCAGAGCCAGGTCACAGGTCCAGACGCATGACTGAGCACCGCCCCACATGTAACTTTTTGTGCCAGTGTTTTCCTGGTCTTTCCCCAGGGGGACCCCAGCGCCCAGAGAAGATCCCACCGCCCCCCATGGTGAGCAGTGCCCTGGGCTTTGAAACAACCCCTGCAGGACATCCTGTTTCTGGTGGACCCACTAGGTAGACGCAGAGGGCACCCTCCCACCCAGGAGGAACCTCTGTGCGGGGGGGCTAAGGCAGTGGGGGCTGGAGGAGGTTTTGAAGGGAGATTTGAACCCATGCAGCTGCGCAGGACCGAGCCTCAGCCAGGACATTTATTTCCTTAGATGCTTAAGGTTCGAGGCGGAGCTCAGAGTCCTGTCTGTGCGGTGTGAGCTCAGACTAGAGGGAAGAGGCTTTCCCCGCAGGTAAGACGCGGTCCGCTGCCTTGCTCCACCCAGGGCAGCGCTCTGGCTCTGCAATCTCGGTGGGAGGTGGGAGCGTGGGGGGCGGGAGGCTGGTGCTGAGAGCATGGCCGGCAGCAACATCATTGTGTCAGGTAAGTGGATCAGCATGAGTTTGAACCCTGATCTCCAGCTACTAGCACGGCCTGCTGAGTTGAAGCTGGTGTCTTAGCAACATCAACCCCACCAAGTCCCGAATGCGAAGAGTTAGAAGGAAGCGGCTCGTAATTATAAAAAGCGGACCATTACGAGCAAGGAAAAACAGGAAGACGCTGCTTGTCACAGGCGGGTGTGGGATAAGCTACAAACAGCCGCAACGATTCCGAAGGACCAAGCTCAGCTCCCGAAATGTGACGCACGTTCTGGTCTGTGCACTACTCCCGACAAGGGGACCCGCCAGCTCTGGGTGTCGGCGTGAACTGGCGAGGGGCAGCCCATGCGTGTGACAGCCCGGCCACCCGGTTGGACCACACGCCACGGACAGTCCCCGAGGCCGCCAGGCGGCAGGGCCGGGACCCACAGCTGGGGCCCCCGTGCGGTGCCCCTCTGCCCTCCCGCCTGCCGCGGCCCGCAGCAGTTGACCTGCGTCTGCGCTGCCCTTGGCTTAGACCAGAAAGAAACAGGGTCTTGGACAGGCTGCCGGGAAGGGGCCCCGCGACTTACCAGTAAGGCACAGGCGTCTGCCAGCATGAGCATGTAGAAGACGTTGTTCCACCCCGACGGGGAGATGAGCCCAGCCAGCAAGGGGCCCAGGGCTGCTCCTGGAACGAGGCAAGCGGGCACGTTGCTGCCTGAGGAGCCGCCGGGGACGTGACCGGGGCAGCACCCAAGCCCAGTAGAGACACAGAACGGCGCTCGCGCCCTCAGTGACAATTAAGCGGAAGCCGTGAAAACAGTCCCGTGTCATTGTCACCTGTCAGACGGTGAGGGGTGAGAAGCTTAATGATGTTCGGTCCTGCTGAGGGCGCGACTGGCATAGCCCTCTTTTAGCAGCGAGGCTAAAGTACGCATTGACATTAAAATGTCCATTCTTTTGATCGAATCATGCCACCTGAAATGCTATCCTAGAGAAACCTGAACCTAACGCTATGACAACATTATGCGGAGAAGCACGAGCGAGGTCTGGGGGCCCCGATCCTGTGCTGACGGCAGCGTCTGGAGTCGGCTCGCCGTGCGGTGGCTGCGCCAGGGAGCCCCCCCCCGCCCGCTCCCGGGGAGCACACACTGGCCGCGCAGCTCCTGGGAGGGGGCAGCCAGTCTGCGGCGCACTCTTCCATGGTTCAGAAAAAATATGCACGTGTAGCCGTAAGTGTGCATGTATGTGCACATGTGTGTTATAAATGTGTGTGTGTCAGAACGTGGGGGAGATAAAGCAAACATAGTGTGAGTTCTTTGTACTTGTTTGCAACTTTTCTTAAGTCTGAAATTATGAAAAATTAAAAAAAAAAAAAGAAAGCAAATATTCCTCAAAACGCCGAAAGCGGAGTGAGCATGCCCGTGGCCGTGGTCTGGTGACTTACTTTCCTGCAGGGGACTGGGCTGGGCTGAGACGCGTGTGCGGGTGGTGCACGGTCTGGCGTGCGGAGAAGTGTGGAGCGTCCACGCCCACAGGCCGTGAACAGAGGTCTGCTCTCGGGGACGGGGGCGACGAGGGGCTCTCCCCTTATTGCTCACGCACTGACGCTCTGTCGAGTGCTTGCAAAGGGCACTCGCTGCCTTTATAATCTGAGAAGCAACTGCACTTTTGCTTCCAAGTCTCAGAAGAACTTCCTGGTACACACAGTAGGCTGTCCTATACCTCCCAAACACCACGAAATGGACTGCAATTGAATTTAAAAAATTAGAGCCCTAGCTGGTGTGGCTCAGTGGACTGAGCACTGGCCTGCGGACCAAGGGGTCGCCAGTTTGATTCCCAGTCAGGGCACATGCCTGGGTTTTGGGCCAGGTCGTCAATAGAAGGGGAGCGTGTGAGAGGCAACCACACATGGATGTCTCTCTCCCTCTCTTTCTCCCTCCTTTCCCCCCTGTCCAAAAATAAAATTAAATAAATCTTTAAAAAAATTATAAACCCACAGAGAGAGGGGCAGAAAGAGACGGACAGATGGGAGAAGGCACCTGTTTCTGGAGGATGGGCTTGACGGGGTGTGACGACAGACGCAGGCGCCACTTTCCTTGCCTGGAGGAAGCCAGCCAGGATGCCCCCCCCGCCCCACCCCGGCTCAGAGGCAGGCCCACCCCAGTGCAGGAGGCAGGGCGGGTGGCAGGGTGGGACGGCGGGAGTCGGCTGTGACCTTGCACGAAGCACTGTTCGATACGCCCCCTGCACCCCTCTGATCCCAGGGCTTCCCCCCAATGTCACTACTTCAGTGATGCCCCTCCTGCCCCCAACCCTGCAGGGGAGCAGCAGCTTAGCCTTTGGAGAATCTGCACCAGAGGCTCCGGACACCAAGGCCAGGGTGGAGCGAGGATGCAGCAGCCGCTGAGCACAGGGCAATGCAGGGAAGGCCACCAGCTTCCACCAGCCCGCCGCCTGCCCTCCCGCACGTGACAGATGCTGGCAGCTAGGCCCGCACCCCCCCGTGGGCAGTGGGGGCGTCTCCTCCAGACTCCAGGCGGTCCCACTCCTGTGGAGGGCAGCAGCGGGCGTGCCCTCCCATGCAGAGGGCCTCTGACAGGGGCCTAGTGGCTCATCCTTCAGCACGAACGCGTGGAGGGCCGGCCGAGAGGGCCTGCATCTGGGCAAGCTCAACCACAGCAAATGAACCGGGAGGGAGGGAACCCACAGGAAACAGACAAACTGGGGAGAGGAAAATGCCCAGGAGGTTATAACACCCCAGGGACTATGAGACGATCGGGTCAAACCACGGGAACCCTGCCCTGGTGCCTGAACGCCGCGCCGGCATCGGCAACGTCGCCGGGCCCGGCCTGACGCACGGCGGCCGGAGGTGGAGGAGCATGCACCAAACGGGTGGGCGAACCCACGAGCGTTGGAGTTGTGAGAGCCCAAGTACAAAGCTCAGTACAGAGGCTGGACGGTCCAGAACATCTCTGAGAAAGTAGAAGAAAAAAACAAAGGTACAGGGAGGGAGGAGAAAAGAAAGGAAAGAAAAGACAGTTGAAGGATTAATCCAGAAAGTTAAACACCTGAATATGTTTTCCAGAAAGAAAATACACAGAAAAGAGGAGAAACAACCTTATCAGGTAAAATGGAGCCTGTTTTCCCAGCGAGGCGGGCAGGTGTGAACAGACGGAGTGGGCCCCCAGGCACCCAGGGCACGGGGGTGGTGGGGAGGGGGAGCAAGGCCCCAGGAAGAAAGAGAGACGGGAGCCCCGAAGTGTCCAAGGGCGAACGAGGGTCAGAGGTGAAGGCCCGGGCTAAGGACCACAGAGGGCTTCTCTGTGTGACACGGGAAACCCGGAGACAGAGGACTTTCAGTCTCGAACTCCGTGCCGACAAACCGTCCCCCAGGGAGGGACAGCAGAATTCAGACACCACAGTCTCTCCAGTTCTCAAAGTCAAAGACACTACTATGCAGAAGCGACTAGAAGACACTTTCACAACGAGAAGCCGCAAATACGGGGCCTGGAAAACCAGGGCGCAACGTGGGCGGAAGAAAGGGATTCTGGGAGGCGGTGACAGCAGCTCGGACACTCGGGGGCGGGAGCACGGAAGCGGACTCAGGGCCGTGGAGGGCCCCCGGGGGCTGACGGAGCCGAAGGGGGCGCACAGAGGGGGTCTGGGGTGACCGTGAACACGGGGACAACTGTGACAGAAACTTAAACACGAGGAGAAATGAGGCATCTGATAGTTGGAGATAAACAAAACATACGTATTAGGAAGCATAAACTAAAGCTCTTCTGGGCTCAAGGGTGAAGGATGTCAACACCACTGGATTACTGACGAGGACAAGGAAAGGGCCCGTGGGGGTGGACCCCCGCCCTCCTCACCAGGACGGCGACCGCCCCGGTCACAGACGGACGCGTGGAGAAACCCGTGCCTGCGTACGTGAGACCAGGAAGGACAGCTGGAGGCGGCTGCTTCTAGAAAGGGGGCTGAGGGGACAGCCAAGGGACTGTCATTTACGGAACAATAAGCTTGTGAGCCCGTCTGGCTTCTCAAGCGACAGCATGTTTTGCTCGGGTAACATAAAAATGAACTTGGGCAAACTCAGGGCTCCACTTAATTGTTCTGCCTGAAACGGGGAGGCGGCGTGCCTCGCTTCCCCGGGGCGCAGTCCAGCGCTGACCGCACGGAGCCGATGAACGGGCGTCCCCGGGGCCGCGTGAGTCTGTGGGTCGGGGCGAGGCACCGACTCGGTCACCGTCAGTGACGCTCTGCCTGCGCTGAAACCAGTAGTCACCGCACTTAATAAAGGCACCGGTGGACTGTCCTGTGGGCGCTTGTGCTGAACAGTGTGCGTTTCCCCTCGAGCCTTTTCCTGCTTCTGTCTAGCTGGGCAGCACTTCTGGAGAGAAATAATGACTGACACCCAGTGGTGAGCCAGCGTGTGCCGTTTCCATGGTGACCATGCCCTTGGGCCCAGTGCACTGAGCTGGCAAAGCCCGGGGGTCTGGGTCCCTGCCAGACCTCTCAGTGTGGGCGTGGCAGTCCACCGCGTCAGCTCACACTGCAGGTCAGCGAAGGGGCCGGCCACGGTCCAGGCGCCCCTGCATTCCTCCGTGGGGGAAGGGCGTTCAGAACCGTGGCCCCTTTGCAGATGCAGCGGCCCCCGCCCCCACAGCCTGGGCCAGGTACTGCTGCGTCCCTCTGGTTTTGAGAATGTGAAGGAAGATGTGTTTCTCACCTAAGTCATACCTCCCCTCTTTCTGAAGTCCCCTCTTTTGCTTTCCAACAGCAGCCAGGGCTGCTAGCTGAGCTCTGACTAGCTCTAACAACAGGGTTCACGGGGCAGGGGGTGCGGGGGCACTGGGCTGGCTCACAAAGGCCTCCGAGGACGACAGGAGCCAGAGAGCCGGTTGTGCCCAGGCCCAGTCCGTTGGAGCGGAGCTCAGCCCAGGAGCCCTGACTTCTGACTGAGCGCATGGCTTCCAGGTGTGGAAAGTTCCTCGTGGGCTATGACAGCCGGGGAGGACAGCGGGCCTGCTCCTCGCAGGGGAGTTTGCCGCCCTGCAGGTGCCGTGGGGCAGAGCGCCCACCTCCCTTTTCCTGGACATGTCTGCACGCCCCCAGAGGGTCCCCCACAAAGGGAATGGTCTCACTTTAAAATAAACATCAGAGCCTGGCTGGTGTGGGTCAGTGGCCTGAGCGCCAGCCTGCAAACCAAGGGGTTGCCAGTTCTATTCCCGGTCAGGGCACAGGGGTGTGTGAGAGACAGCCCATCCATGTCTGTCTCGAGTTGTGTATCAATGCTCCTCTCTATCAATGCTTCTCTCTCTTTCTCCTTTCCTTCCCCTCTCTCTAAAAACAAGTAAATAAAATTTAAAAAATAAGAATAAAATAAACGTCAGAGAGGTGACCACGAACACCATCCAGCAAATTCAAAGTCACTCCTGGATCCAGTCACCCTTGAATGAAGGAACCAAAGATGAAAACAGACACGGGGCTGCTGCGGTTTGGGGCACAACAGACGCTTGAGCCCGAACTTCCCAACGGTGGGTGGCCAAGGGCCTGCACAGGTGTCTCCAGCACCTGCAGCGGGGGGTGGTCATGGCGTGCGTGAAACTTCGAGAAAGGTCAAAGACACTGCCTGTTGCCACCAGCCTTCTTTCTGATCAGGCTGGCGTCTTACCAGCTCCCACCTGCTGCCCCTTTCTGGGGGTGAGTTCTGTCTCTTAGCACCTTTCTGCTCTTCAGAATACAACGCTGAACTGTCTCTGAGAACCTCGACAAGGATGCTACAGCCCAGAGTCTGGCATGCTTGGGGACCCATTAGCTTTCCTGTCATTCACACTTTTTAAAATCCTCATCCCAGGACATGCTCATTGATTTCAGAGTGGGGGAGCGGGGAGAGGGAGGAAAAAAGAAAGGTAGAGAAACATCAATTGGTTGCCACCCCCATGCGCCCTGACCGGGGATGGAACCTGCAACCCAGGCAGGTATCCTGACGGGGAATCAAAGCCACGACCTTTGGGTTTATGGAACAAAGCTGAACCCACCGAGCCACGCCAGACAGGGCCTGTCATTTGCATCTAAGTAAGATTCTGTCCTGGAGACAGGAGTGATGAAGAGTTACCAGATGAGAGGGCCAAGGGCCCGGCCGTAGCTTGCAACCAACGGCTTTGGCGAAAACTAATGCCAACCAGCCACACGGCCACGTTGTCTCTGGAGCCATCTGACCAACGAGGACAGACAGTGCCACACACTTATATCCCCTGGGTGCGCACACGCTTTTGACCTGTTCATATTTTAACAAGGCCAGTGGACCCTAGTATCACCAAAGCAATTGGAATCGTGGCATCTGTTAATTAGGACGTGATCACGTGGTTCCCCGGGGACCACAATTAACTCTGAGAGCTAAAAGTATTCACGTACCTACAGACCCAGTTCCGTCAATGATGGCGGTCACGGTGGCGAGGGCGTGGGCATTTCCCTTCAGGCTTTTGTGCGTCCCCTGGAGGAGGAAGGTTGCGTGTGAGGCCTGTCCCAGCAGCATCAGAGGGCACGTGAAGGGCACGCCCTCCACAGGACAGTTCACGCAAGCATCTCTGCAGAGCAGTTCGGGACGTGGGGTGTCTTCCACGGGAAAATGAAGTCTGTGCCCACCCAGACTTACCTGGGGATGGTGGGCAAAGCTTCTGGAGCTTTTAAGAGAAATCATCAGAAATACTTGCTCAAACATATTCTAGCTTAAAGGACTCTTCGAATTCTCTCTGAATAAACAAATACTCAGCACAGCCATCGTCCTCACTGAGGCACCAACCAGCCACCGAGGAAGACAGGGGATGAAGGGCACACACGCCCTGTCCCTAAGCCAGGACCGCATTCGTGTCCATCCCCGCATTTCTGGGGGGCTTCTGCGACGCGCTGGATGGCTCTGCGGGATCTAAAAGCCTAACTGGTGACGAATGCCGGGGGGTGGGGAAGAGGGCAGGACCCATGAGACCCACGTAGGGGACACAAGTCCCAGATGACAAACCAGCACGAGCTCTGCTTTGCAAAAGTCCACACGCATAAGGTGGGGTGGTGGAGGAGGTGGCCACCACCGCAGCACCTGCCCCGCCCCGGCCCCCCGGCCCCTGCCGGCTGTGTGCTGAGCCGAGCAGCCACTCACCAGGTCAGCAGAGACGGCGGTGGTGATCAGCGCGTAGGGCCCGCTGACCAGGGCTCCACTGAGCAGCAGCATGGCTGTGGGGACCGGAAACCAGGGGTGTTTAGGGGGCACCACAGGGAGAGCCTCCACCGTCTCAGCAACCCCCTAGGTGGGCACCCTGGCATCATGAGTGGGTCCTGGCCCCAGTGGATGCTGGGGAGGTGGCCCCCACACCCCGTGAGGCTCACTGCCAGGGCCACTGTCACAAGCATCTTCCTTGAGACTTGCCCCAAGACACCTCTGGCAAGCCCAGCCGGAGTCCGGAACTGCACGCCTCCCCCTCAACGGACAGCAGCTGCTGACACGCCGAGAGGGCGAGAACCTGGTGTGCGAGCACACGCGTGACCTGGGGCAGCAGAGGCTCCCTGTCGTCTGTGTCGGCTGCCACCAGACACGGCCTCATCTGCGGCGGAAAGGACTTCCGCCCGTGCGCCCTCGAGGGGACCGCCCAGCGCAGCAGCGTCCCCGAGGCAGGAGGGCGGTGCCCAGTTCTGAAACGCAGCTGCTTTCCCAGAGTGTCCTCTAGTTCACAGTCCCCTGCGCAGCGGCTTTGGGGCCTGGGCGGCAGGAGACTCCGTGACACACCCCCAGCCCCGTCAGCAAGCTGCCTTCCGGGGAACTCTCAGCAGGAGCCCACCCGGCCTGCATCCCTCCCGGTCCCCACTGCTGGCTTGTCAGGGCGGAAACACTGTTTCTCAGTGTCCGAGCCCTAAGGTAAAAATAGTCCCCCTGTGTTACGCAACTGCCCCTGAACGGCAGCCCACAGGGGCCAGCTGGGGGGTCGGGCTGGGCGCCTGACCCACCCTGCTCTGGCCCACCCTCACCTGCCGGGGTGCAGCCTGCTGCCTCCGGGGTGGCATCTGGCTCCTGGGAGCGGCTCCTTGCCACCGGGCACTCAAGGCCTATCACTGCCCCGGGCCAGGCGGCCACACCTTCCCGGGGTCACTCTCAGACCTGCAGAGGGTCAGGCCCTGTGCCTGGGGGCGGGAGGCCTCTCCCAACGGCCCCACTTGAAGGGGACACGGGGACTATTTTAGCCACACCATATGCTCCAGTCTCATGAGCTGAATGCTCCTTTGTTAACCTTCATTCCAGCTCCCCGAGCTGTCTGGTCAGAAAACGTGTGTGCAAGGCCGGCGAGGCCTGGGACTCACCTACGGTGGCCTCCAGGCCCATCCTGCTGACGGTGGAGAACACGTAGAGCTGTGGGCGGGTGAAACGGGGCGAGGCAACGGTTCGCTACGCGCAGCCGAGCGGCTGCCCGGGGCCCACGGGGCAGGGGACGCTCGGGCAGCCACCCAGCTGGGGGACTGCCCCAGACAGAAGCCACGGGCCTTGTCCCAGGCACGCGGGTCCTGAGGGTGCTCGCTGAGCCGGGGGACCCTGGGCGCCTCCCTCTCTGAGCTCCCGGGGCAGAAGGACGGGTTTGGGGCAGTTCCCTCCCAGTCTAACCGTCTCCCCCTCCGGCCGTCTGCCCCAACGCCTGCGCCTGGGGAGTGGGATTCTGGGGCGGGGGGGTGTGTGGGGGAGACACGCACAGTCAGTTCTTTAGTAAAAATTCTTTGAATGTCCGTGTGGGGCAGTGTCCGCCACCCCAAGATGACTGAAAACTAGGCTTATTCTAGGGACAATCACAGCCCAGTGCAGTGGCCGATGGCCAAATAATTGTCATGCAGGTTGATGAGAAACAGCATTATATGTAGTATTGTTGTAAAAACAACAGTAATGACACAGCGCTGCACTCGAGCCTGCACTGACAATGGGAAGGGCTGCCGTCACCCTCATTCTGCAGAGGAGGAGCTGAGCCACGGAGGGAGAGGCGCCTGCCCGAGGCCGTGCGCTACTGAATCCTTAAGGGCGGCAGGGACCCAGCTGTGAACATGCGGCGGGGTCAGCGCTGCTGAGGTGGCGATGGCCTCGGGGGCCCTGAGGGTCAGTGGGAGTCCAGGGGAGGGCCCTGACCTGCAGTGGGGCGGGGGAGGCTGGCCCAGGAGGGCCTGGGGGCTCTGCAGGCCCACTGGTTTGCCGAGGGAGGTTCTGGGGTGAGGGGCAGTCCCCAGAAACCAAGAAGCGTGCACGGAGCGAGCTGGGCCCGACCCGAGAGCGTGTGCTGGTAGGCAGGGCGGGGGCGGCGGGGGCGGCGGGGGCGGCAGGGGCGGGGCGCCGTTCGCAGAGGCAGAGGCGGTGGGTGGGGCAGGGGCAGACGCACCGTGGGTGCGGCCAGCAGCAGCATCAGCCCGCAGGTGGAGGCCCTCTTCTCCAGGCGGTCGGAGACGACCCCCGCCAGGATCCCGCCTGCAGAGCGGAGGGGCGGGGCCTGAGGCGCTCGCCTCCCTGGGCAGCGTCCCATGGAGGGAAGCTTGGAGGGAAGCGGAGGACGGGGCAGCAGCAAGAAGACAGTGACGTCCTCCCCCACGTCCCCCTTCACGCCGGCCTCCGGAGGGGCCCGGGTGCTCGTGGTCAGACGTGAGGGACCCGGAGGGCACCTCCCAGGGAGGCAGCGAGGGCATGTTGGGGTCTGGTTTTAGGCTGGCCCGGAGCCCCCTCACCTGTTAGGGCGCCACCACCACCAGTGTGCCACCCACCGAGTGCGCCTGGCAGAGCGCCCGCTCACGTTCAGAGTGAGGGCCAGGGCGCAGGAGGGGACACGCCCACTCAGACGATGCACCCCGGGGCACACATTTCCTCCCAGCAGCAAGCCCGCTCCGAGAGAGCCCGGGCCGCGGGTGCTCACGTGCCCGTTTCCACGGCGGCAGAGCCGGCGGCGGTGAGGGACTCACCGAAGATCCCGCCCACGTCGAACAGGGTGGACAGCTCCCCTGCCTCCTGGGCATCCAGGTGGTCTGTTGGAACGACAGGAGTGTCTCTGAGAGGAGGTCCCCACGCCACCCCCTTCTGTTTCACGAGCGTGACTCACAGCAGGGAGCGGCTAGTTGACTCGGAGGCCAAGAAGACAAGCAGCCCCCCGTGCGGTGGACACGCAGGAAGGAAGACAGCTGCTAAACACTCTCAGCCCCGGCAACGAGCGACGGCCCTGCTGAGTCGTCTCAGTAGCCCCGCTCTGGCTCCATGGGGCGGAGTTACATGCAGCACAGGACGGAGGTGGGGTCGCCAGGCGGGGAGGGGACCTACTGCCCAGAGCTCCCTGCGCCTGGCCCCCGGCGCTCCCACAGGCCCTGGCCCTGCGAACATGCCGGTCCCCTCTCTGTCTCCTCAGCCTCTGTCCCTGAGAGACTCGGCCCTCCTGTCTCGGGGTCCTGTCTGCCTCTGCTGGTCCCTGGGACGCTGCTGGGAACACAAGGTCTGCCCTCCGCTGACCTGCACCCCTCATGTCACCTGCCTGTCCCACTCACCAGAGCCTGCCTCTCAGGGGACAGCCAGAAGCTCAGGGCCCTCCTTGACCACCCCTCGTCCTTGACCATCCTGCCCCCCGCCCCATCCTGACCACCCCTATCCCCCTTCAGCAGAGGTTGCTGCCCCTGGACTCAAGGATCTCTTCTCTCGAGAACTTCTGGACCCTCTCCTGGTCTTTCCTGCTGCTACGGAGCTGGCATGGGCAGTCACAACCTACAGCTTCAGCCCCGCTGGGCTTTGGAAATAAGACAAACTGTCCACTCTTCCCTCAAATGAGAGCTCCTCCCTAGGAACCCATCTCCAGGTCAGGTCACAGAGCGTTTATTGGCTCAGCCCCCCAGGGCCTCTGCTCCCGCTCACCTGCCACTCTGACCTGAGGTCTGGTGGCGCCCACATTTAAGTGCAGGCTGCCCCAGAGCAGGAGGGGCTGCCTGGAGCTGGCAGCCATGGCTGGGGTGGAACATGTCATCCCTTTACCCCCGTCAAGGTTGTTACCGTGGCAACAAAACACGCCTGGCCCAATTCCCTCTTTGTACATTTCCACTAATCGTGTGTTTGGATGCACGACATCATGCATCACGTGTGTCTCTTCTTCTTCCCAAGTCTGTGGAACCCGCAGGCCAAGGGAGCGCGGATCACGGCCACCGCACAGAACCCAGCACCGGTGCTTCCGGCGCCGGGGACTCACCGACGTTGGTGATGTAGAGAGGAAGCCAGAAGAGGAACGTGTAGCTGACCAGCTTCGCAAAGAGCAGACACAGGGAGAACTCGACCACACCCTGAACGAGAGAGAGGCGCTCAGCCGGAAGGTGTAGTCACGGTTCGTTTCAGTGTGCAGCAGAACCTCGGATTCCCTGACTCCCGTGAGGTGCCCCGGCGCTGGTCTGGCGTCAGCACTGCCAGGTGGGCGGGGGGGGGGGGCACCTGGGGCTGCACAGAGCAGCCTGGGGGCGGGGTCTCGGGACAGCTGTGCGGCAGGCTCCTATAGCACACGGCTCCCCTTTCCGATGGAAACCCACGTCCTCCCATCAGCTCGGGCGGGAAAAGTTCACACTGCTGTGACGCTCGCACCACGTCGCTCCGAAACCTTGGCTGTTGAAGGAGAGCAGGACATAGGCGGGACCCACCTAGTTCCCACCCAGTCCCACGTCAGGTCCCCCTTTAGAAAGAGCCGGCACTTGCGAGAGGACAACCCCAGACACGGCCTGGGGAGTCTGCGTGAGAAGGGGATCACGCGGGGTACCGAAGCGCTCCCGCTCCCCACGCTGTGTGTGCGTGGGACCCCCACCGCGGTGGGGTGCAGACACGACACCCGGCCCGTGTAAGTGATGCTGGAGTGGCAGGAGTGCGTGTCTGCACAGGCCCCCGCCGTGAGGACGTGCGTGTGGCTCACGGCGTGTCACCACGCCAGCTCAGTCACCAACGGGCCAGTTTCTTTTCCTGGTGCGCGCCAATGCCCCTGTCGGGAGCCCTCCCCAGGCGCAAGTACTCACGGGGATTTTCAGGGCCCCCGTGAAGCTGATGGCGGCCATGCTGCTCCCGCCGTCGGCCGCCGGGAGGAGGACCACGTGGTTCTGGCGGACGGCGCGCTTCCCGTCCGACAGCAGCAGGCACTGCGTCTCCGGGTCCTGCAGCCGCGTCCCGTGAAAAGACAAAGGAACAGGAGAGGTCATCAGCCCGGCTGGCGGAGCCCAGCCAGAACTCCTGACGCCCGGGTGCCCCCCGGAAAGTCACGGGGACACCTGGGAGAACATCCTCACCAGGGTCGTCACTTCGTCATCGTGACCTTCCCCACGTTTTAGGGAATGCTCACTGAACACGCAGAACCCTGGACCCACCCAGCAAGTCTAGGGCCCTGTCCGTGAAAAATAATCTGAGTGACGAAAAACTACTTGTACGATGAAATGAATGTCACACACTTTTGTGGTAAGGTCCACCCGTGTTGATAATATATCCTGCAGCTGTAAATAAGGTTGTAGATTCTAACGACATGGGAAAATGTTTATGACACATTAAATGATAAAATACCACGCAAAACTGCATTTTCGCTATGATCTCAAGGAATATATTTATATATAACATATTCAATCTAGTTTTATGTTTGCCTATATACACGTGTAACTAGGTAACTACAGAATGCATTTAGAGAAAGAAACTAAATTCTAAAGTGGCAATGGTTGTCACCAAGTGATGAAACTGCATGTAGTCTTTATGAAAATGCCAGCAAGTTTTTCATGATCCTGTATTTTCCAAGGGGCTCACAATGGACACACATTAGCAGAAGCACATTATTTTAATATTCATAAACCAATTCTGATGTTCTTAAAATCCTGGTGTTGGACGTTCCTAGAGGACAGATTGCATTATGGGAGCAAAAGCACAGTGGTCCACAACGCGGGGCGGGGCCCGAGGCCGCGCAAGACGGTCTGAATCCGCTCCTCGGGACGGGACGACCGAGCTCAGGGACTTAAAGGTGTTTCTCTGCATCCCAGACTTCCCGCGAGATCCAACGGCTTGCATTGCACTTATCTCAACACAGCCCGTGCCAGTGGGGTGCAAAATGCAGTTAATTTAACTGCATCCTCCCGGGACGGGACCCCGTCCCGGGAAGCTGGAAGCCGGCTCTCTGCCAGGGCGGGGTCTCGGGGGCTGGCCTTCGGGCATGTGCCGTACGTTCTGAGGCCCCCGCGTGAAGGGCACAGACCCCCCGTGCAGAAGCACACGGTCTTCCCGACGCCAACCCCACACAAGCACGTGGAGACGAGGAGCTGCCGCCTGAGTGGGGGTGAGCCTTCCCCTCACGAGCGACACCGGTGGGCCAGTTTCGGAGACACGTCAACAGGTCTCCACCCCGGCCAAGCCCAGGGACCTGCGGGGGCTCTGGGCAGCCCGGGTGTGCAGATTGCACCTGCACCAGTGCCAGCGGCCCCCACCCTCTGGGAGGAAGCCATCCACCCCCCAAGGGGAGTCGTGGGTCCCTGCTGCACCACAGGTGGAATCACCCTTAGCAGTAAACACCCGCGTGGTGCTCATTCCGTGTCTGTTGAGTCAGCCAATCAGAAAGATCCTCCGAGAAGCCGGGGTGACCAGGTCACATGGCTACAAGGATGACAAATTTCTATCGCCCCCACGATAACCATCATACAACCCACGAGGACTGGAAGAGGGTCCACCACGTGGCTGAGTGACGCCAGAGCCCCTTTCTCATCATCCGTATTTCCGCTGCGCCCCCCCCCCCTTCTCTTCCCGCACGTCCGCGGCAGTCGCCGGGAACCATGCCCGACACACAGAGAAGGCAGCAGCGGCCTCGAAAGGCGGCCGTGGTCCAGGGCTGAGGAGCACTCGCCTCGGGCCCCATGGGCCTGAGCTGGGCCTCTCGGGGAAAGGGGACCCCAGGGCATCCTGCTAAGCTGGTGGGGCGCCCTGCCTGCCGGCCTGGGAGCCGCTGCAGCCTGTGAGCTCCCCGGCCGCACAAGCACAAGGGCCAAGCCTGGGTGGTGCCCAGAGGCCCCTGCGCGAGGGACACCTATGAACCAGGGCCAACAGCTGCCCGGTCGGGTCTGCACTGAGGTGTGGCCGGGCCTGAGACCAGACCTGCCGGGGCCCCTAGCTGCGTCACTCCCTGGTGACAGACCAGTACACAGGCTCTCCCAGAACGAACAGAGAAGGAGAGAGTGATCCCACACTCCGAACACGTGGCCGGCCTCACTGGTCAGTAGCTGCACCAGAACGCTGAGCCCGAAACCTTGCATCGAAGGAAAAGGGTAAATCTTCGGTGACAGTCGGGAGGGCTAAGCCATCTGGACATCGATTAAGACCCGATGCTAAGGACCAAGTACTTGAGTTCCTCCCAGATCCCTCCTGCGAGGAGCCCCATCTCCACCGCAGTGGTGCTGGAGGTGGGCCCTCTGGCTGGGGCTCGCGCCCTTCCGAGAAGAGACACCGGAGCCAGCCCTCACCAGGCACTGGCTGTGCCGGTACCTTGACTTTAGACTTCCCTGACTCCAGAAATGAAAAGAAGTTAGAAGCTGTTGACTATGTGTATCCTTTAAACGATTTGGTTTAAAAAGAAAACAGCTTAGAATTTCACCACTGAAAGCCAAATCTAAAATGCCCTGGGCCTCCGCGTGGTCGGTGGAGCAGAGGTGACGTGAGGAACTCCCTGGAAGCGTCCTGAGACGTCGGGGGTGGAGGCCCAGGCAGAGGTGGGAGACCACTGGGCTGCAGTGTGGTCCCCGCATCTCTGCGCCTCAGCTTCCTCTTCTGTAAAACGGGAGTGGAAGGGCGGAGGGCCAGAAGATGACTTTTTGTGTTATCTCTGGGGCCGCCCACCTCGTATTCCCAGCCTCCTGAGCTCCCTCCTCTTGAGTCCCCCCTGGCCCAGGTGCATGCAGACTCTCCCTTCGCTGCCTTCGCAGCTCTATTCGGGGCCACCTGCTTAGGGACGGCCCCCGCCACCAGGCCTGGACTAGGGCTTGCCCACTCCTCTCCCAGCGGGCTCTGTCTTCCCGGCATTGGCTGCTGTAGAAAGCATGTTTCCTGTCTGTACCCCACCCCAGCCCCCAGAACGGGAGCTCCACGGGAGCGAGAAGTGTCACTGATGCTCCCGGCAGGGACCGCCCTGGCCAGCGCCTGCGGCACTCGATGCTGCAAATGTTTGCTGAACCAGTGGTTGACTTTCAGATTTCACTTGCACATTTAAAGTGAGCTCAGCCTTACTATCCAAAGAAACCTAACAAGGGCAAATTCAGGTTTCCCTGAGAAAACACGAGACCCGGACGCCTGCGCGGAGGCCCCCCCGAGGCGGCGACCCTGACTTCCTGCTCAGCAGCAGCGGCACGCACGACTCACCAGAAGCTTCTCGTCGGGCACGGCTGGCCTCTGCAGTCTAAATCTGTGTGTGCCGTTCTCATAGCTTTTTGAGTGCTGGAAGAAAAAAACGTAATCAGAGCCATCACCGGGGCGACAGCCAGAAATGACACCTCGCTTCACTACCCGCACGGAAACGCTACCCAGGGAAGAAAGACAGGCGAGTGAAATAAAACAAAGGCGAACGTGTTTAATCTCGAGGTTCCAGACCCTCGGACGACAGAAGGTGAGTTCTAGACCCTTGGATGACAGAAGGTGACAACGGACTTTTTCCTTGAGGAACCGCCCAGGACCCAGGGGCACGATTCCGCGGTTCCCAGAGTTGGGTGACCGCCACCACCACCGCGATTGGGGGACCCTGTCGTCGTCCTTCAGAAGGAAACCCGTCACCGTGAGCAGTCGCCCCTCCTTTGGCCCTTGCCTGCTCTCGACCCCCGGCTCACGACCTCTGACCCTACGGTTCTGCCGCTCTGGACGCTGCGCTCACTGGGGTCCGGCAGCGCGTGGCCTTCGGGGCCGGCTTCCTTCCCCCAGCACCGCGCTTCCGAGTCTCACCGCGCCGTGGCGCCTGCCCTTGGACTTCAGCCTGCTAACCGCGGGAAACCAGCCCGCTGCGTGGACGCGCGGCTCCGTCTACGCGTCACCTGGCAGGTACCGTTCCCACGCTTCGGCCGTCGTCGGGATTCACGCTGTGATGAATGCTCGAGTGTGAGTTTCTGCGCGGGCGCGTTTTCACTGCTCTCGGACGCGCGCCCGGGAGCGGAACCGGCGGGTCACGGGGCAGCACCCGAAGCTCGCGGGGAGCAGCGGGCTGGTTCCCGGAGCGGCCGCGGCATTTCACACCCTCACCGGCAGTGAACGGGGGTTTCGGCTCATCGTCTGTCTCTGATTCCTGCCGTCCCAGCGGAGATGAAGTGGCGCCTCACGATGGTTCTGATTATGGTCCCCTGACGGCTAGTGACATTGAAGAGATTTTCATGTGTTCACTGGCCATTTGGGTAACTTTTTTGGAGAAGTATCTGTGCAAGTCCGTTGCCCATTTTTTAACCGGACTGGCTTCTTATTCCTGGGTTGTATGAGTTCTCTATACAGTCTAGACACAAGTCCCTTACCAGATACAAGATTTAGAAATATGGCCCTGGCTGGCGTAGCTCAGTGGATTGAGCGCGGACTGCGAACCAAAGTATTGCAGGTTCAATTCCCAGGCAGGGCACATGCCTGGGTTGTAGGTCATGGCCCCCAGCAACCGCACATTGATGTTTCTCTCTCTCTCTTCCTCCCTCTCTTCCCTCTCTAAAAATAAATAAATGAAATCTTAAAAAATATTTAGAAATATTTTCTCCCATCTGTGGGTTGTTGCTGTACTTTCTAGCCATGCTTCGAAGCACAAGTTTTATGTTCAGATTAAATTCAATTTATTTTTTCTTCTGCCCCTTGTCCTTTTTTTTGTAACTTATCTAAGAAGGCTTTGTCTCATCCAAGGTCATTAAAATATACTCCAGTATTTTCTTCTAAGAGTTTTACGGTTTCAGCTTTCACAGTTAGGTCTGTGACCACTTGAATTTTGGGGCCCAGCGTGAAGAGGGGCTAACAGTCCCTGCCCTCCGACCCCAGCTGTCCCAGCACCAGGTCCAGAGGTGGCCGTGCCTCTAGGCTGCCCCACAGCATGACTGGAAGTGGATCCACAGAAGCTTGGATGTTGAAATTCAAGATCATGGCAGAAACGTGGCTTTCAAAACATTTTAAAATGTCAACTGTAGTTAAGGATCATAAGGCAATAATTTTCTTGAAGGGAGTGATTTTCAAGATGCGTTTTGTTTTCTTATTTTTGCAAGGTACCAGAATCCTTCTTTGCAAGGTGACTGCACTCAGAGGCCTGCAGCGGTAACCGATGGCCTGAGCAGGCCCCGGGCCCCTCCCTGCAGCCGGGCATCGAGGGCAGCAAGACGGGGCCCCGCCTGCAGGGCTCTCTCTCACTTGTAGCGGGGAGACTGGCGGCAGGGGAACCGGGTTTGCACTGAGTGGACCGGGGAGGAGGAGCCGCCGCAGGCTGTGAGCAGGGCAGCGGCGTGCTCTGACATCCGTTTCGGGGAAGGCTTCCCCAGTGCAGTGGGAAGAGCCGGTTTGGTCGAGCAGAAGGGCGCCGTTTTAGGGGCTGACGAGAGGAGGTGCTGGCAACTTGGACCAGGGCCGTGGAGGTGATGAGAGGGTTTCCATCCCACATATACACACAGACCTGGCGGTGGACAGGCTGAGGGGCAGAGGGAAGGCAGAGCTGGGACGATTCCTCCAGGTTTGGGGTGCCCACAGGGTGGGTGGGGTATCCCTGAGACTGTGGATGCCACGGGCCTAGCAAGTTGATGGGGGGAAGTAAAGAGCTCTGGTCACGCTCACTTTGAGAAGACAACCAGACATCTCTGGTGACATGAGGTAGGTGGTAGAATCCATGACCAGAAGGCTCAGGGGAAGGGGCCGTGCTGGGGGCATCAGCAGGGACTCAAGGTCGACCCACATGGGCATGCACAGAATGTCCTATGCAGTGAAAGAATGAATGAGGAAAGAAGAGGCCAAGCACCAGGTTGGGGGTGCCCCACATCGGGGGGCTGGCACAGGGGCGAGGCCAGCCAGCCAAGCGCTCTGTGTAGAGCTGGCCAGCGTGGTGTCTGGGAGCCCAGGGAAGAGAGCCGTTCAGGGAGGATGGGAGGAACTGTGTCAAATGCCAGTGACAGGCCGAGTGGGTCAGCCAGAGCCCTGACCACATGTGATCAGTTGCTGCTCCTGGGGCCCTTGGCGCGAGGTTTCCATGGGGTGGCCTGGGGAGGGGAGGGGAGCGGTCCTAGGGGAGTCAGGGAGGGGCGCTCTAAGGTAAGCAGGGGGCCTGGCGTGAGGGGGACGGAGGCTTTGTCCAAGGTGGGTGGTGACATCACGTGCTGGGAGTGCCACAGGGGAGCGAGAAGCTGACAGCACAGGGCAGGTGGACTGTGGGGGCGAGGTCCCTTGTTGTGGGGGAGGGCTGGCCCGGGCAGGCGGGAAGTGCACCGAGTGGCTCGGGGAAGGCAGAGACCTGCTGTGTGAGCGGGCAGGGCTCGAGCCCTCCGTGGCCGCGGATCTGCTCGGTAACCCAGAGCGCAGGCCAGTCGTCCCCAGGCGGGCACGGGCAGAGGTCAGAGGGGACAGGTGGCAGCAGGCGCTGCAGACGAGGGAGGAGGTGGATGATGTGCTGGGCCGTCCTGACGACCCACGAGACGTGTGTGGGCAGCACTTTGAAGTGGCATCAGCCAGCTCACTCATCGCGTCCTTCTGCGGTCACATGGCGACGTCTGTCCAGGGGAAAGCCAGGGTGTCCCCACTGCTCTTGAGGCACGGCCTCTGGTCGCCCTCCACGAGGTCTCTAACCCAGCCTGAAACTGCCAGTATTTGGAGGGCGGGACCCTTATCCACTCTTTGTTACCCACTGACACTGTGCAGACAGGACCAGACTGTGACAGTCATCAGACACCCGGCAGACGACACACCATCCAAGAAGACCCATGAGGCAGAGAGCGAGTCCTTACCGCCACCAGGGTGGGCGAGCAGGCTATGTCCTTTGGATCTGAAATACCAAACATGCGACCACGTGTGAACCCGGGGCCGGGTGTTCCCCCCAACACGAACATTGAACCAAAACAAGACCCACCTGATACCAAAAAACAAAATCCCCCCCACCAAGCAACCCAGTTAAAAAACGGGCCAGGGGCCTGAACAGTCGCTTCCCCAAAGGACATGCAGAGGGCCGACAGACATGGGAAGAGACGCTCCAGCTCACTGCCCAGAGACGTCACCTCGCACCTGTCGGAGTGGCCATGGTCAACAAACCAATGACTAGTGCCGGCGAGGACGCGGAGAGGGCGCCCTCGAGCACTGCTGGCGGGAGAGCAGGCGGGCGCGGCCGCTGTGGGAAGTGGTACGGGGTTATCTCAAAAAACTGAAAATGGAACTGCCTCGTGACCCCGCGACTCCACTCCTGGGAATCCGCCTGCAGGAGCCCGGAGCGCTCACTTAGAAGGAAGCACGCACCACCCCCCACCCCCACACCGCGTTCACGGCAGCGGCGTTGTTTACGTCGCCGGGGTCTGGGGGTGGCCCGAGTGCCCACCAGCAGAGGAGAGGGTAAAAAACTTGTGGTACATTCGAGCAATGGGGTACTCCTCGGTTGTGAAAAAGGAGAAAATCTTATTTTGCAATAGTCAGCGAAAGACCAGTACCATGTGATTTCACTTACAGGCAGAATCTAGTGAACAAGATAAACTAAGAAACAAAACAGAAACAGACTCGTATTTACAGAGAGCAGACTGACAGCTGTCAGAAGGGCGGGGGGTTGGGGAGCTGGGTGAAAAGGTGAAGGGATGGAGGGAAAACAAAAAACCCAACTCACAGACAAGTATGGTGATCACCAGAGGGAGCGGCGGGGGCGGAGAGAAGAGAGCACGGGGGTGGGGGGGCAGGGGGAATGCCGACAGGAGGCCCGATCGGGGTGCGGGACACCCAACACCATACACAGGTGCCGTGTTATAGAACTGTGTACCTGAAACCCACGAGACTTTATTAACCAATGCCACTCCAATATAATCAATAAAAAGTAAAATTAAAAAAGATTATCATCTAAATGAAAAAAAAAGTTTTAATTGAACCCACAAGAACCCGTCCCAAGGACCCAAGCTGTCCAGAGCCAAGTTTAAGACCGTCTGAGCGGGTGAGCCGGCACGTGGTCACACTTCCCCACGTACTGTGTGACCTTGGTGGGTCAGCCGGCACCCTGAGCCCCACGCTCTTTCCCCGGAGCTCCAGGACTCAGGCACCCTGCCTGGGACAGGGAAGCCCCTCCCTACCCGCCCCTCCCAAGTGTCTGGTTTGTGACCAGGAAGAAGGACAGCCTCAGGCAGTGTGCTTGCTAACTAGTAGGAAGAGTCTGAGAGATGCCTTCATTCCAGTGCAAACAAGAGTCGACCTCAGACTTGAATACAGGGTGCAGACGTGCCTTCAGAGGCAGAGCCGCACCCGGGGAGACACAGAGAGGGGGGCTGGAGATGGGGAGCCTCGGGGGGCAGGCCGAGAAAGGCCAAGTCCTGCGAGTGTCCATGGTCCAAGACCCAGGCACTGGGGACGGCCTTGGCGGGGCGCTGTGACAAGGACAGCCAGCCTCCAGGAGCAGCCTCCTCCCCATCCGAGGAGGAGCCCAGCGATGCAGGTGACTGCCAGGACCAGGCACCGGGTGAGATAAACTGGGAGGACCAGGGCTGTGGTGGGAAACCGGAGCTCAGCAAGCATCCTGCTCCCAAAGCACACACGATGCGAGGCCGGGTGGCCAGGAGAGGGTCACGCGGGGAAGGAGGGGCGGTGGGAAGGAATTATTGGTGGCACCACGAGGAACAGAAACGGGGGTCTCATTAGGGACCCTGCAGAGCTGTGAGTACACTACTGATGAGGCAGGAGGCTGTGACTGTAGGTGGGAAACCCCAATGGGCAGAGGGGTGAGAGCGCGGCGACAGGAGGGCGGGACGAGCTCTGCGGCCAGGCCTCCGGCCCCACGGCACCGCCCAGCCCCAGCCGTGGGGCCTCAGAACTCCCCGTCGGGGCCGGCCTGCCGCCGAGGAGAACCCCAGAAACAGGAGGCACAAGCCCAGGCCCGGATGCGCCCCCTCGGCCCTCCACGTGGGTAAGATTTCCTAGGCCAACCGTCCAGGCTCGGTCTACTGCTTAGGGCCTGGTGGGCCCTGGGCCCGGGGAAGCTGAGAGATGGTGTTCCTGTCCCCAGAGGGGACCAGGTGGGAGAAAACCAGAGCCCCGAGGTCCCCACGGTGCACGGAGAGGGACGCCAGCAGGGGGACCCCGGGACAGGAGGAAGGCACAGCAATGACGAGAGGTGACCGGAAGTGGAGCAACAGGAGGTGGCTCCAGGGGGACCCTCCGTTCAGACTCGGGGCAGCCTCGCTCCCCAACGCCCCACCCCACAGGAACCACGGCAGCAGGGCGGCTCGGTGGGAAAGAGGCTCCCATTTTATCACAAAGACCAAACCAGAACTTCCTTATTCTTGGAAATCCCGCCTTGAGCGGGGGCAAGGTCCGGCCAGGGTGACCAGGCCGAATGGAGCAGCAAGCTCACGTCCCCTGCCACACACTCCGATTTCCCGGGTCGCTCCCCCTCCCCCAGGACCAGCCTCTCGGAAGTTGAGAAGAGAGCAAAAGCCCCCTCGGACTCCAGACCTCGGGCCGAGCACACGTGTGGCACCCAGGGGCCTGCGCTAGCAAAGAGAAAGTGTGACCCCAGGTGACTGACGTGTAAGGAACACTCTGGTGAGCCCAGGTGACAAGAGCGCCAGGTGCTGCAGAGGCAGCCTGCAGGAAAACAGGTGGCACAGATGACTTTTCCTAGAACTCCGGTGACAAGGTACGGCTGAAAGCTCGTGGGACAGGAACACCCTGACAGACAGCAGCTGCGGCAGCGCCAGCCTGTCTGGCATCAGCGTGACTAAGAATCCGAGGCCTGCTGGAGCTCTGTTTTACAGATTAACTTCGAATTCAACTGAAACAAGTTTCGTACCGAGTCTGGAATGGACACTCCCCCCCTAATTAAGATACGTGGTTATAAGTCGAGCCACGTTCCACAACACTGTCCAAGACGTACGTTATCAGAAAGTGAAGGAGCTGGCAAGGCATGTCTCAGCGGGTGGCAGCCAGGCTGCGGCGAGCAGCGGCAGCCACCTGGCCCGAGCGGGCCCGAGGGAGTCGTGAGACTCCCAGATGTAAGGAGAACCACGCACGCCCGATGCTGCGGCGGGGAGGCCAGGGTGGAAGGAATTCCAACATCGGTTCCTCCAGAAATTGGGAACCGGCAGAAAATACAGCTAATGGGGAAGTCTACACCTGAAGAAGGATGTCACCTGGTGAGGTGAGCGCAGGAAAACCATGCACCCACAGAGGCCCAAGCAACAGCCTGTTCTCCTAGCAACCTGCCCCCACAGCCCTGCCGGGGGTCCCCTCCCGGGCCCCGGGTACTCACGTTCGATAAGGAAGAGAAAGCACACGACCCCCATGGCTGCCACGATGGCCCCGGGCACGATGAAGGACAGGCCCCAGCACGTGGACACCCAGTAGCCAGCAATCAAGGACCCCAGGATGTTGCCCACGGAGGTGTGGGAATTCCAGACCCCCATGATCAAGCCTCGCCTGCAACACAACAAGACACGGGCAGCAGATGATGTCAGGAAGCTTGCGTGGGTCCGTGGAGTGGGGCCCAGCAGGGTGTGCGCCACGTCAGAGCCGCCCGGCCCGGGGACAGAGGGGCCACGCGGGCACCTCTGCCGGACGTGGGCCTGGAGACGCTGGCGTGAGAACGGGGCTTCCCTTTGCCTCGGAGACATGTGTGGATTATTACATGTCTCTCTCAGAGCTTCTCTATGCATGACTACAAAGAGGAATGAGGCCGCTTCCTGAAATTCTTGGAAGGCCCCAAATTTAAATTTGTGCTTCTGCAGACTCAATCCAATAATTGGCTGAAATATCCCATCAACACAAGTTTCTGCTGCGGACCTATCAGGTGGGCGGAGTATCTGATGAGGCTCCGTGAGCTGGTTTCCTGCTTCCGTTTCCCCATCCTCAGTGTCTCCCAGCACTTCTTCGCCTGGCCCTGGCCCTGGCCTTGGCCTGAGGCCGTGCATCACACAGACGTTACAGCGTCGCCTGGACGGCACTCAGAGGCTGGGCGGAGTGCTGGACAGAGGCTGGGCACACCTCCACCGCCAGGGGCTGGGCGGCTCGTCAGGACTTGGCACGGGTGCACCTGCCTTCGTGTCTCGTTTCTGACGTGGCTTCTGTGTCCAAGGCCCAGGGCAGGGCCTGCCCTCTGCGCTCTGCCCGAGTTCCCGGAGGCCAGGAAGGGCCGCGCTGCGGGTCAGCTGTGCCGTCTGGTGCAGACTCGACCCCGCCCACGGCAGGGAGGGCATCGCCCGGGACAAAGGCCATCTGAATTTCAGCACCTCGAGTCCCAGAGATTTTCATGATCTTAGTTCATAGAATAAAGTGGTTTTTTTTTCCTACAATAAATCTAAAGAAAAACTAAAACTAAAGTCTAAAAACATCTTTTAAAAAGTAACGCTGCTGGAAGCAGGGTGGCCTTTTCTCGCCTTCCTTTTAAAGAAAATTGTGTTTTTCCATCACGGTGGACACTCAGTTATTCTGTTTCAGTCTCGGGTGGGCAGCTCGGTGGGCAGACAAGCACGGACTTGACACACAGACTCTCACCTTCCTTTCCCAAACCAGTTGCTGAGGCAGGTGACGACGCTGGGCCAGCCGGTGGTCTGCACCAGTCCGTTGATGATCTGCGACAGGGGACAAGGGGGAGGGCTCACCGAGGAGAAAGCACGTCCTGTCTTCGGGTGGGGACCGCAGGAGCCTCCCCTTCTCTGTTCTTTGGAAGTCTGGGAGCACGGCCGGGACCCGCCCACAAAGGAAGAGGCCACGCCCTATCCACCATGAGCCCCAAAGACCCAAGTTGTATTTTAAACCATACGTATAACTACAAATGTAAGACATGCCCATCGTGAAAATTTTAGAATAAATAAAGAAAAGAAAAGAAGACAAAAATCTCTTGCCAGAAGATGAACGGCTTGGGGCCAAAGTTTCCAATCTCTGTCTAATCTAAACTTCATAAAAAGAGAAAAAAAATGTCTTCTTTTTATAGAACTGTGATTGTATTATAAATTATAGCTTGTAAATTGCGCACTTTCACGTCTCCTGTCGTGAAGAGGGTACTGTTGTTAATGACTCTCTGAGCCGAGCTTGACCTTGACCTAAAGCCTGCAGAAAGCACTTCCCCCTTTCCAAGAGGACCCTGAGCTCACATTTCGAGAAGGGCTTTTGCAAGTGCACTGGCAAACAGGTTTGCTTTAGTCCCAGGAGCGTCAGAGGCAAATTTTCAAGACAACTAGGCCCCGCCTAGTGCCTCCTATAACCATGACTGGGCCGGACCAGCTCCCCAGGACACAGGCTGACTAGTGGCCGCGGGCTGGACTGGCCTCAGGGCCAGCCGGGGCTGGCCTTCCATTCAGGAACGTGCTGGAATGCTGGGAAATTGCTTTTTTTTCTTCCTTCTAATTCTATATATTACTATAAAGTATGTTACTTTTATAATTAAAACAGTCAAACTTTTTCAAAGCCTATGGCAAAATTTTTAAAAGAAAATTATGGCCCTGGCTGGGTGGTTCAGTGGGTGGGAGCTCTGTCCCATACACCAAAAGGCTGTGGGTTTGATCCCCACTCAGGGCACACACCTAGGCTGCAGGTTCTATCCCCGGTTGGGATATATACATGTAGGAGACAACTGATTGATGCTTCTCTCACATACCAACGTTTCTCTCTCTCTCCCACCCTCCCTCTCTGAGGCCACTAAACATATCCTTGGGTGAGGATTTTTTAAAAAAGCAAAGTATGTCCAATTTACTTTGATGATTTTATAACATCTCCCCCAGGCTATGTGAAGAGCCTCAGAAGTTAAGCTCATCACTCTGTCATTTTCCATTTCTAGTAAATATCTGTCCGCAGGCATGTTGGGAGGGGCAGCAGCCAAGAGTTTCAGGAAGGGCTGGGCCCAGCCGGAAGGGCAAGGCCACAGGGCCCGTCTCGGCCTTGGGGCCCGTAAGGCTCTCTCCGCCCACCGACTCCCTTGACCCTGTCCCCTGCCAGCCACGCCCCAGTCCTCCCTTCCTCCTGCCCTCGCTATGCCCCGCATCACTGGGACTCCTGAGTGGTCCAAGCTGTCACCAGACGGGACACCTAGAGCTCCTCCAGGTGAAGGCAGAGGGGCTGGCGCTGCAGTCCCTGAGGGGTACGGACAAACTGATTCTTTAAGAGGCAACTCCCGAAACTTCAGGGGAACTGCATGGCTGCCGGAACTTCAGAGAAGACGGGAGAGAGACTTCACACGTCAGCACGTCAGCACCGACCCTGACATCAGACTGGATGCACGTCTGTTGTGCGCGCCCCCCACCCCGATCCCATCACCGCCATCGTCTCTCCTGGCAGAGGCAGGGACCTGGGACATAAACGCCCCGTGCAGCTCATCACAGAGACCCCGCGCGTGGTGGGCCACGGACCCGGACCTTACCTGAGTTACCACGTAGAAGCTGAAACTGTGGATGTTGTAGAAATAGCCCAGCCCGAACAGGGCAGTAAAGGTGCCACTGGCCAGCATTCCGAAAGTTAGGTAATACCTGATGGGCAGGCGCTCCCCTATTATGCCACTGAGGATGAGAAAAAGGACAGACGAGCATGAGCAAACAAACACACCCACAGTGTAAACGACCCGCGATTTCTTTCCGGGTGTTTTTATGCTGTTCTCTGAGCTTTCAGAACTCCAAACACCACAATCTCCAAGAAGATTTCATCGTAACTATTTCCCCGTGGAGCATTTATTAACCAGAAACTGTCCGTTGGCAATATTTTTTAAGACTTTTTATTTCCAGCAAAAGTCACTAACTGTCAAATAATGAACCTGGTATACCATGGCTTACACTTTGATGGCTGCCAATTAAAAAAAAAATCCAAAACTTGTCCTGCTAGTTAATCCTGCTTTTATATAAACAATATCCAGTTACAGTTTCAACTGTCAACCTGTAGACAAATGTCATAAAAAGGTAACACCTATAACCATGAGCCAGTCTCTTAGTCTCTCAGCTGTCATTAAGTTACTAACCCACATTAACTGGGCCCAAATTTGAGCTCTACTTAATAAAGTTTTAGTCCCAGCTGGTGTGGCTCAGTGGATTGGGTGCCAGCCTGTGAACCAAAGGGTCGCCGGTTTGATTCCCAGTCAGGGCACATGCCAGGGGTTGCAGGCCAGGCCCCCAGTAGGGGGCGCATGAGAGGTACCCATGCATTGATGTTTCTCCCTCCCACCCCCTCTCTCTAAAAATAAGTTAATAAAATTTTTAAAAAGCTTTGAAAGAAAAGGCCTGATGGAAGGGACCCCGTCCCACATTACATCAGATCCACTCAGGCACTAACGGCCACCCCACACCTGCGGACACCAGCCAGGAATGCCCTGGGCTGCAGACGGCGCCCATCGCGCCCAGCTCTGCCCGTGTGCCCTGGTGTCACTGAAGGCCGTGAGCGGCAGCGGTGCTCGCCCATGCTGCGGTCACGAGTCAGCGGGGGACCTTGCATTCGCCAGAACCTCACACTGACCCTCCCTGGCAAGCCGCATGAAAAATGGCCTTTGCCAATAAATGAGCAGCAGTAAAACCACTTCATTTCAACCAGGTCCCTTAACCTCAGCGCTCTTGATGTCTTGGGCCAGGAAGCTCTTTGCGGTGGGGGGCTGTCCTGTGTGCTGCGGTGTTAGTGGCACCCCGGGTCCCTGCCCACTCGGTGAGAGCAGCACCCCTTCTCCAGCTGTGACACCACAAATGTCCCCAGATATCGCCCTATGTTTCCTGAGGGGCCAGGCTACGCCCAGCTGAGGAGAATATTTAACTACTGCTTTCTAGTAACTGAGAAAAACGCACTGGGCCTCTGGGTCTTTTTATACTCGGGGTTACGGGTGTCCAGGCAGACCCGTGTGCAGAGCACAGCATTGTCCCTCCGCGTGGCACTCGGCTGCAGCCTGGCTGCCTCCCAGGCCCAAGAAGCCTGAGGCTTGCACGGCACTTCCCGTCAATCGGGCTCACGTTCTGCTGTGCACCACACGCTTCGGGCTTCCGTCTGTGTCACCGCCCCCCTCTGCAGCACTCTGCAGATATGCAAATGCAATAAAGCAAACCATCCACTCCACCAGAGGAAGCTGCCTGGCCGGGCCCAGCCACCGGCAGTGCACGGGGCCGGGGTGGGGCCCAGGTCCTGACCCACCGCGCTCTGGGGGGCCTCAGTGAGCAGGCTCCACACGGACGGGATCCCCGAGACCCTCGAATCCGTAAAGATCTCAGTCTCTGAACCAAAGCCTCTTTCTCGGGTCAAAGGGCTCCGTCCCTATTATACTATTTCTTCCCCGACCTGGCTGGACTGACATAATACCAGTGTTTAACCCGCCAACCCAGGTCCCGTTACCCACTCGACACGTACACCTTCAGGTCAAGGTCAGTTCAAGAATGGGATCAAGAACCCAGGATGACAATCACGTGTGACAGACACTGGGCACGCACCACGTGCCGGCACTGTGCCAAGCATCCTGTGTGTGTCAAATCCCCGCCACAGTCCCTCCAGGTAAGAACTACCGTCCCCCATTTTGCACAGCCGCAGAGCGCCGCCCTCGGCCACAGGAGCGGGCGGGGTCGGGTCACAGCAGCGTGTCTCTGCGCACGCCCCAGCCGCCACGCCGCCCGGCCTGGCGCTCAGGTGAGGGGCTCTGTGCGGGCCGTCCAGGTGGACGCGCCCGGCACACACTCGTACACTGTGGAATCGGTGGCTCGGGACTGCGAACAGATGGCGGTCCTGAGACCGCAGCCGAGGATGCGCTCTGCTGAGCACCACCAGGGGCCGCCAGGGCCCTGTGCCAGGTGGCCACCCCCCGGCAGGGCTCCAGTGCGTCCTGCGCCCGAGGGCCAGGAGGGCCACGCGTGGGCAGCCCGCCCTGAGCAGCACGGGGCCCGGGTCTTCCACGTGCACTGCCCCGGGGTCGTGTCCTCACAGACACAGCAGTGCACGCTGGCTCTCGCCTTTTCCTTGTCCCCGAGGAGAGCCTGGACGGTAAGTGGCCTGCGGGTGGGGCTGGCGTCAGGCGTCCTGCGCACCTCGGCGCACCAGAGACGGTTCTGCACTGAGTGGAATACCGGCCAGGGCCTCGCAAACTCGGGCAGACCTACCTCAGGTACATGCCGATGGCGTAGGCGCACAGGAAGGAGTAGTCCAGGGCCCCGAGCAGCTGCTGGTAGTTGTCCTGATCTGCGCGGGTGAGAGTGGACAGGCAGAGGTGAGCGGCGCTTCGCTCCCACTGACCATCAGAGTGCCTGCTGGAGCGGGGCGGGGGCAGGGGGATGCAAAGCGTCTGCCCTCTGGGTGCGGGCGCTGGGCTCAGAGCAGGGACACGGAGGATGCGGAGGCACGCCTGCCGCTGGCTTCTCGGCAAAGGAAACTGCAGCCGCCACATTCCGAACAAGCGCCAAGCGCACGTTACTGGTGGGAACGGACCCGCGCGGCTCACGGTGGGCACCGGCTTGTTCATTTCCTTCGCGCCCCGCCGAGGCCAGCCCCGCACGGGCCCTGTGGTCTCTCCTTCCCACCCACGGTTCGCGCTCCGCGCACCCTGACTTTCGGCTTTGACACACACCACCTGCACGCTGTCCTCAGCAGACCTCCGCACTGAGAGGGTCTTGTTCAGGTGGCGGGTCACCTGCACACAGGCCCCAGGACACAGCGGTGGCGGAGGAGTGGGACCCGGGGTGGGACACAGCTGCTCCCTGAGACACGGTCCCACTCAGGAACACCGGCACCGCCGCCGAACTGGCAAGGCCGGGCGAGTCAGGCCGTGCCAGCGGCCTCTTGGCCCGCCCGTCTGTGCAGAGCCCTGCAGGGGCGCCCACGTCAGAGGTGCGCGGACACGGGGACTCACCGAACGGGGCCCAGCCGCAGTCGGTCTCGTTGTCGGGGAGCTGGTGAGTGGGGACGCCGCCGGCCGTTTGGCTCTGGTCGCTGACCCTGACCCCGTCCTTCTTCCCGGGAGCACAGTACTTGTGGAGCTCACCCTAGGACACCCACAGGGGGGACAGAGGACAGAGGACAGAGAGGGGGAGCGCAGCAGGTGAGTTCAGCAGGGGTGCAGAGTACCAACAGCGCCCCTCTTTCCAGCCCTGGGGAAGGGGTCACCGCCCGCCAGGGCAGGCTGCCTGCAGGGCCCACAGAGAGCGGGTAGGCAAGGTTATTTGGGCTCCAGCAGCCCCGCCCCTGAGCACACACAGCAAACCCACGCACGTCCCAGGCCACCGGAGACCACTGCTCAGGGCAGCTGTGCCGCTGAAAGCCGGCTGCCCGTCATCCCCGGACCGCCCGTCCGCAGCGGGCCAGCAGGTTCATCCCGCTCGGTTTCTACAGCTGAACGCTGCCCGGTACAAGGGAACCAGCGCCCGGTCCCTGCAATGACCGGGACGCCTCTCGTGGACAGTGAGCCCGACACAGAAAACCTCCAATGGTGGACTCCATTTCCACCCGTGACGCTCAAGAACAGGGGAATGACTCCGTGGGGACCTTGGTGACAGTCAGGGTTGCCTGCAGTGGGTATGATGGCGGACAGGGCACAAGGAGCTGGCACGGGGCCGGACCTCAGCCAGGTGACAACTTCCTGGGTAAGTGTCAGTATCTGTCCCGGCATGGGACATGGCACGTGGCTGCCTGGTGGTCACGTGGCTGTGTCATCATTACCAGGGCACTGCCCTAAAAATCTAGCCAAGGGTCCTGCTTTACAAATTCAAAGTAGCTATTTGCCAAACAGCTTTCCTCAGCAGAGCTCATCCTCGTGGGGGCTGGGGGCTCCCCCTGGTGAGTGAGCCCTGCCTCTTGCCCCGGCCTGTGCTCAGCTTATTCACACTCCACCAGGGTGACCGTGCGGGGCTGCGGACACGACCGTGAGCTCCGGTCAGAGACACGGTGGGGGCCCGCAGTCCTTCCCTGCTTAAGGCTGGCATTTTCAGCATTTCCCCAGTTCCCTCGATTTTATACTTCCTCCTCCTCTTCGCCTTCGGGAGTCAGGTGTTTTTGCCCAGCTGCTGCTGCTTCTTGTGGAGGCCTAGCTGGCCAGACCCGAGCCCTCACGGACGCTGCTCTGGTCAGCTTTCAGTAAGAAAGCTGCAGGCCGGGTGGGAGAGGGAACCGGGACCAGGGCTGGAGGGGGTTCTGACACGCGCCCTCCATGGGAGCATGGGACAAGGAAGGTGGCGGACGGTGGCTTCAAACAGAACTTTAACATTCTCTGCTGTCACGTAATACTCCCAGGGAGGAGCCATCCATGGGAAACAGAAAAGGTTACACATGCTCCATTTCTGTTTCGTGAGTAAGAGAACAGCATTTCTGTTTAGTTTTGTCCTGTGACAAAAGGCAGCCGTGCCTCCTTCCTGGCAGGGACTCAGGCTCCGAGCTGGGAGCCTGGTGCCCCTGGGCTGGGTCCCGACTTCCACTGAGTCACGGGAACTCTCTGCTGCCAGCTACGCAGCCAGGATAACCAAGCATAACCCAGTCCTGGGTCTGTGTCCTGCCGACGACTAGAAGTGGGCAGGGGGGCAGGCAGAGCCGTACAGGAGCTACCTTTGGCAATAGACAACTTCCTCATATCTTCCACCATCAAGAGTCCAAAGCCATTCGAGCCCTTTGACAACCTAGGCAAAGTGATGTCATTCCAAGGAGGGTCAGAAAATCTCATTGCTTCCCCCCAAGTCATAACTGGCTACTACGGAGGACTGTCTGCTGGAATCTTCCCTCCGTCTCGTTGAGTTAGGAAGAGCCTGGCTCACAGCCCCGTCCACCCGCCACTCGAACAGAGACTCAGAGTTCCGGGGGTGACGAGGAACCTCCGCCACGGCCCGACTCGGATCCACCCGTGAGGGTCGTGGGGGCCGTTCGGGAACAATTTAAGACTGGATGCTTCGGAGAGAAAATTCACACAAGACAGGAATATACATTTCATTAAGCTTTAGAAGTCTGAAACTGTCAAGTAATATAATTGAAAGCATACTACCTCTGAAAGCATAAACGAAAAAACGTTTTAAAGATTTTAATTTCAGAAAAAAAGAAAAAAAAAGCAAACCAACAAAATACCTTGCTTCTACCTAATTCCTTTTCTCCACTTATCTCCTCCCCCTGCAGCCGCCCCACCCCCACCCCACCCCGCCCCCATCAGCTGCCTCTTAAAGTAACACACGTTCGTTATCGAGATTACAGGCGGGATAGGAAGCGAAGTGTTTTATGATTTCTTACCTTAACTATGCTGATAGGCTTTCGAGATAGGTGGAAACTGGCATACAGCAAGAACGTCAAGATGAAAATGAAGGCTCTGTACCTGGGACACAAAACAGGGAAGAAGATGATGGCCAGTGATGGGAGCTGCGTGAAGAGCACACGGTCACTGCAACTTTAAATTTTTCTTACACTGTGCATTACTCATTCAGTCCTCTATCAACTATCCATCCTACTTATAATATCACCATAATATTATATTTAAAAGGTGGGACTTCCGTCCAAGTTGAAACTATTTAAACATTCACTAAAAGAACTATAATCAAAGAGAAATCTGGGACTCAGAAGATAAACACGTGCTTACAGGGCAGACAAAAAGAAAGGATTGTTTAGTTTGAAGCAAAATTAGCCGCAAGCTTCTTGTAAGCCTGCTATCCTGGGCATTTAAGATCATATTTTATCCCTTTTTAGTTTCTGTCCAACTTTCCGGAAGCACATGAGCGGGGCAAGAACGTAAATATCTCACTGACCTCAATGAGAAAAACCCAGCGATGCTCACAAGCTATGAATAAGGCCGCCGATATAAAAATTCTGGCTTAAAGCCCAGCGGCTCTCATGAGAAAAGCAGTAAGGGGGAGGTGCTGAAATATATGGGACTCTAAAGGAAAGAAGATTCTCTAGTAAGAAGATGAAAGTTTATTCCAGTCTAAAAATTTGAACCACGCTATGGAAAAATATTTCCTAAGGCCAAAAGAAAAGAAAAAAGTCAGGAGGAAAAAGAGTTTGGCAGGAGGTGAAGACAAGGGGCTTCCACCAGGGGGCAGGTCCTTCTGAGTCCTGAGACCCCACCTCTCACCCTGCGCCACCAGGCCCGTATCTGGCCTGGCCGGGAAAGGCCAATGACTTTCAAGTTGGGCGATGGCTGGCATTGATAGTTACCCACAAGCAGAGATGGGCGGGGGCCCTGGGGGACAATGAAACCCCTCCTCCTGTCTCATGTCATCGTCGTAATGTACTCCTTAAGGGCAGCACTCACTGAATAACACAAAGAACCCTGGGGGGCCCGCCTCTTTGGCCAGTGGGGGACAAATAACTGTTTCTAGATTAAAAAAAATACAGGCCCTATTTCAGGCGGGAGGAAAAGGATTGATGGGACCACCAGAAACCTGTGCCTTAGGGAAAGGAAAACACCAAACCCGCTTCCAGGCACCAATAAACACTGGATACACGAGTGAAGAAACAGCCCCGCGTGCTCCTCTTCATCATGGAAGCACGCTCCGATGGCTTTCCCGGGACTCTTTGCTCTCCGAGCCCGTGCCAGTGACCAGGTAGGAGAAAGTCAGTCCATAAAAAAAGTGTGTATTTTATCCCAAGGAGCAGAAACTAGGCAGGTGCAGTGCATCCGTTACAAAGTCCAGGCCTTTGTCCCCATGCTTCTGAAAACCATCTGCTGGGGTGGAGAACGGAAGTCGCTCAATTATCTGCTGAAAGCTCTCTGTCACTCCACCCACTGCTCCTAGGTGCCTTAAGTTGCCAGCACAGGAAGGGTCTAGACTACTGGAGCTCTGTAAGCCTCAATACCCAGATTCCCAACCCCCAGGTGGATTCGCTGGCCAACTGTTTTCTCACCGAATGTAAATTACCAGGGTGACAGCAGTCTGTGGGGAGCCCTGAGCTGCCCCCATTTGGGCATAGGGGTCCCTTTCCCAATCTCCACGAGGAGTATTTGGACAAGTTCTCAGACTGGGTTCCCTTCCCACCTCAGAGTATGGAGGGAGAACCTGGAGCCCCCCAAGGATGCGAGACACCACCAGTCACCGCTATGTGACCCTCCGGGAGAATCCGAACGTCCTCTCACACAGCTAAGAAGGATTTTGAGAAAGTAGCTTTACTTAAATGAACCTTGGGTTCCTGCTCTCTACCAAGACAGAAACAGAGGGTTCTAGTTATAAATACTCTGTTTATCAAGTACATTACCATATTTATAAAGTAGAATTAATAACCCGCAAATAAAGAGCTCCTCCATGTGTCCAGACAACGTCTGAAAAGCCCTGGGCCCTCATATACCAGCATCCTTAGGTAGTCAAGTCAAGCTGTCTCGGTCATGGGAACCTGGTCGCCGTTCCCGGGCTTCCGTTCCCGGGCTTCCTTTCCCGGGCCTCCGCCCCTTCGCTGACCACTGGTTCTGCAGGACCGCTCACCAGCACTGGGCCGGGGGACCACGGGGTTCCTGGGCTGTGCCGCAGGGCGGGGGGGATGCCGAGTGCAGTGCGTGCCCAGGGACGCTCCATGCGCACGCTGGCCGCAGAGGGGAGCAGCACACGCTTGTGGCCGAACTGAATTTGCAGCTCGGTTCTCAGTGGAAGTGAAATGCCTTGAGCAGGCAGCCTGCAGGTTGCCAGGTTCACAAAGAGAACCTTTTTACTTCTGCGGGGTTGTCCTGGGTTAAGGGACTAGAGTCCTGAGTAACTCTCCTAAGTCCTCTGCCCGTTTAGTAATTCTTTCTCCATCTTCTTTCTGCCTTTGTCGTGCACGATGCAAGGATTTCAGAGGATGTTTGTGTCCTTTTATTGTGTACTGGGTTGGATACCATCCATCCCCCTGAAGTTGTCAGAATGTGGCATAGGGTTGCAGATGTCATTAGTCAAGTTGAGGTCACATGTAACTCATGTGTGACCTCGAATCCAATGAGATCTGAATCCAGTGCCTGATGTCCTTATAAAAGCCACGTGGAGACACAGGCAGGTGGGGAGGGAGGCCGTGAGACAACAGAGGCACAGCCACACACCGAGCCCCGAGCCCCGGGGACCGCCAGCTACCGCCCGAGGCTGGACAAGGCAGGAAGCGTTCTTCCCCGGAGCCTTCGGGGGCGGGCGCAGCCCTGCTGACACCTGGGCCTCAGCCTCCTGGCCTCCAGAACAGTGAGGGCAAATGTGCTGTTTTAAGCCACCAGAGTGGGGCACTTTGTTACAGCAGCCCTTGAAACGAATACAATCTGGTACTCTTTGTGTTTGGTGTTGCATTTAGGCTTGTGAATGGGAAGAAAACACAATAAAAACCGAATGACCTAATGCTTTCCTTCGCCAGTGCTTCACTCACTTTCTGAAGTCACGCCCGACTCGAGCATTCTTTGCATCTACCAGTGTTACAGCAAGAGCGCTCGGGTCAACCTCCAGTTTCTAGCAAAGACAGCCTGTTTCGGCAATGACGGTCGCTGCGCACCTTCAAAGCTTCCTTAGACATGTTCCCAGAGGCAAATTAAAAGACTCCACGCAGAATATGTGGAATATGTGTCCTTCTTGGAAGATTACTTATCACAGTCACATGCAAACAAGGAATGCACAAGTGCTTTGGACGAGAGTTACTGAGCAGTGTGACTCGGCGCAGGAATGAGCCCAGAGACACCCTTCCTTCAGAAACCAGGAAAGCGCCCACGGCCGGGGTGGAGTCCTGCTCAGAGCCCCTGAGGGGAGGCACGGGGCGCTAGTGACGGCAGCGCTGGCCACGTGGTGGAGGGGCTGCTGGCCAGATGGAAGCTACGACTGTTCGCTGTGAACAACGAGTAAGGAAGCTGTGGGAACACACTTGGAGATGACGTGAAGAACCGGTTCCTCCTACTTTCCCACCTCAGAGAGTGTGTCCCTCTCTCGGTGACCCTCACCGAAACTGCGCACTGCCGACAGTGACAGGCAGGCCATCGAGGTTGAGGGGCACTGCTGCTCTCCCAAGGAGCTGACATTTGCTGTGCGGAAGAGCTTCACTTTCTCCTGCTTACGCATTTATTGAATCATCGCTGCGTGGCCTCACGGACTCGGAACGTACTCAGTGGGCTAAAGTCCGTCACTAGTGCTGTTTATTTTAGACCTCAAATCACCCCAGATGTGGCAGTGACAGCCCCTTTGTTTTTAAGCACCCCCTTATTTTCTGGCACAAGATATTCCCGGATCCTCTCAGCCCCCCTGCCCCAGGGCAGACCTCGTCCCCGAAGACGCCGGCTCCTTCTGTGGGGGCGGCACACGGAGACCGAGATCCGGCAGCAGGGGTGCTCACTGCTGCGGGCGCTGCGCTCCCCAGGGTCTCTCGGTGGGCAGGGATGTAGCATTTTACACACACACACACACACACACGCACATACACATGCCACACACATACACACAGCCTTGTATACCCACTTCTCCCCCGCGCTCCCACCAGTTCTTCTGGGCATCTTTAATTCCAGCCCAACACAGCATGGTTCATTCAGTCCCTCCCCTCCCCATAGTTTCAATTCCTTCGCCATCAGCGAGAAGCTGTCTCCCTTCCGCGGTATTCCTGTCAAAAATGCACACTCTGACCCTAAGCATGAGGAAATACTAGACACGCCCAAAACCAAGGACAGTCTATAAAACAATGGCTTGTACCGTCAAAAATGTCAAGGTCGTAAAAGACGAAGAAAGGCCAAGGAACAGTTTCAGGTGGGAGGAGGGTAAGCCCAAGGGGCAGTGTGACCTGGACGGGACCCTGGGCCGGGAAGAAAGCCATAGAAGACGTGAGGGGACACCCGATAGAACTCTGAATAGGACTGCAGGTTAGGTGGTAGCACTGTATCAGTGTTCAATTTCCTGACTCCGGTCCTTGTGTGTAGTTAGGTGAGAATTCTCGTTTACAGGAAATGTGCACTGAAGTATTTAGACTAAAAGGACATGACGTCTCTAACTCACCCTCAGACGTCCATTTAAAAACGCGTGCATGCAGACACGCACACGGAGAAGAAAACGAGGTGCCATGTTAAGGACTTGTCTGCCGGCCGGGCCCAGGCCCCACAGCGGGACGAGATGCACGCTGACAGTCCCTCTGCCCTCGGTTCTCCCCACTCAAGACTCAAAGCCCCGCGAGAGAGCCCTGCAGCCCCTCCTGCCTCCCACCCTGCCTCCCGCTGGACCTGCGTTGTTCCCGGAGGCTCCTGGGAGCGGAGCCTCGAGGGCCTCCACCAGCTGCCGCCGTGAGACGGGAGCCCGAGACTCGCCGGCCTATCCCAGCTGCACTCAGAGCGGGGAGTCAGTTCCCAGCGGGAACCCGAGATGCTGCCGGAGACGGGCAGTTGTGCTGCGCAGAAACACAAAAAATGTCCTTTGGAGGCACGTTAAAGCCAGTCTCTTTAGGATTGCTGAATCTCAGCTAAAAATAAGTTTTAAAGGTCACAAGGCAAGTGGAGGCAGAGAGGGAACGGAATTGAAACAAACTCCGCGTCTTTCCTACGCCGAGTGTGGTCGGCAGGCTGGCGGCACCGGCACCTGGGAAACGCGGGCTCCCGGGCGCCCGAGACCTCCCGAGTCAGAACTGCACTCGAACAAGTGGTTTGGGGGGGAGTCGCACGCTCGCTCCAGTTCGGGATGCACTGCTGTATCTCTGTAGCTCTCAACCTCACAAAAATAAGAGTCTGTGACACACGGGAACTTTACAGCAGTTCTCTGTAACATTCTCATAATTCTGTGAGTTTGAAAACTGTATCAAAATAAAGCTGTAAAACAAAGGAGCTAGATGAACGCTTTGGAAATAAAAGGTGAGTGTTTAAACACCTGTGGCTAGAATTGCAGCAGACTCGAAATGAGTCAACAAGGGAGCAGCCCTGGAAGGAACGAGGTGGCCGAAGTCGCACCTGAGACCCAGCGGGTGCTCCGCCACCTAGAGGGGCCGGAGAAGACGCCCAGGGCGTGGAGGCCACAAGTGGGTGGTCGTGACGGACAGGAAGGGGTTCCAGGGTACACCGCTGTGGTGTGAAAATTATTTTGAGCAGAAAGCATTTGAGCTCCTAAAGTCTCTTCTCTGCCTGAAAGCAGAGCCTCCCTTAAGAAGTCATCTGTCCTGAGTCCCTCCCTGGGAGCACCCGAGGAGACTGACGCGCTCCTGAAGACGAGAGGGGTCCACACCGCGCCCAAACAGATACGGTCACGGCAGAAACACAGCGCCCGGTCACGACAGAGACACAGCGCCCGTGTGCTGTCCTCAGGCCCCTTTACCTTCCCAATGCTGTTTTCCCACCAGTGCCTTCCTCCTCCTCTTCTTCCCCCATCAAGAATTTGGCGTACAGCCCTGCCTGGTGTAGCTCAGTGGATTGAGCGTGGGCCTGTGAACCAAAGCATCACTGGTTCAATTCCCAGTCAGGGCACATGCCTGGGTTGCAGGCCAGGTCCCTAGTAGTGGGGTGTGAGAGGTAACCACACATTGATGTTTCATTCCCTCTCTTTCTCCCTCCCTTCCCCTCTCTCTAAAAATAAAAAAAAATAAAATCTAAAAAAAAAAAGAATTTGGCATACAAACTCCAAACTCTAACAGCCGCTGTGAGTCACGTTTTTCTGTCAACTCCTGCATACGTGGGATTCGATTCTCCTCTCCTGTGAATCTTTTTGTCAGTGTAATTTGCATGCCCCCAGTGACTGAGCCTAAGAGAGCAGAGGGGAACTTTTTCCTTCCCGACCGAGATCAGCGGGGAAGGCACCACTGAGGGTGCGCGCCAGGGGCCAGAGAGCCCGGCTGCAGACCGACTCCGCCCTTGCCCGTGGCTTTCTCCAGGAGCACGGGGCTCACGACCACCCGCCACCTGCCCCAGGGAAGGGCTCCCACAGAGCACGCACGCACGCACGCACGCAGAGGTGCTCTCGGAGCAGAGAGCTGTGCTCTGGTCGGCATTTAACTTGCTTAGACGTTCCCTTCTCCCTGAAGTTCTGTCCCAGCCAGGCCACGCACTGAGCTCAATCCGAGTTCACGTACTGATTTCACTCTCGGGCACGTTAGAGTCCTGCCGGTGGCCGGCGGTCATTTTTCCATGGGGGCCATGATTCTTACAGAAACCACTGGAGACCTCGAAGGGGTCTAAATGCTACCTGTCACCTCCAGAGCCACAGACGGAGAACAACTCGGCCATGCTCCTCACAGCTTCCGCCGCTGGGAAGTGACTCCGCGGTTACGGGGAGGCCAGCATCCGCGTGCGTCTTATCATGAACCCGGGGGCGGGGGACAGCCAGCGGCACAGTGGCCCTCACCGGCTCCCGGCCCAGGACTCACCACTGATCCCGGGAGAATGAGACGATGAAGCGAATGCCGGCAGGGAGTCGAGCCATTTACGCACGGGCCACGGAGCTCTGGTCACGCGATCGGACGCTTCATAAAGAGGGTGGCAATCCTGGCTCCGAGTTTCCCGCTCGCCCCTGCGCTCACACAGGCTGGAACGCGAGTAGAGGTGTCCCGCTGGGTGTCACGTCCCCTCCTCCTTCCTGCGGAGGCTTAGCTCTCTACAAGGGGAAAGAGGAGTTGAAAAGTCAGGTATTCTGGCAACGGTACCTTGGAATCCCTGGCGGAATCCATTCCCTGTTCAGTTGTTACCCAGCCCAGCCCAAAGCTGACCTTCCAGGATGATGGGCACGCTCACCACCAGGGCCACTAGGTGGCAGGCAGCGTCTGTGCTGGGGCGGGGGGTGGGGGGTGCTTGTTCAGAGATCACTGAAAGGAATTTCATGTGACCTTCCGATGACAGGAAAGGAGCCACTGAGTTCATCTCCACCTGGAAGGCACCTGGAGACCAACCCACTCACCCTTAACCACAACACCCTGCGGGTGGTTAACATTATGAGAGATCATTAACATTCATGAGAGACCAGTCTGTGCCCGGCGGTCACACCACATGCCCCATTAGCAGAGCACGCCCGGGAACTGGACGTGCTCCGTCCCGCCCACTCTGGAGCCGCCCACGGCTGAGCCGCGGTCACAGAAAGGAACGTGGGCCTGGGCGAGATGGCAGGCCGTCAAACCCACCACTCAACTGTGGCCTTGCAGCCAGATCGAAACGCATCTAACGCTGTGGGAATGGAGTTCACCTCGTGTCTTCTCCCCACTGCTCATCCCCTGCGGCCCCTCAGAGGCCACGGGCAATGACCCCATTCCGGAGGCAGAGCTGAAGGCAGAGCAAGACAAGGAGTGGGCGGGGGGACCCGAGCACCGAAAGGGGGCCCCGGCACACCTCCTGTCCCAAAGCCAACCTCGTGACTTGTCTCGTTTTCCAGTTTTTCTTCTGCACTTGGCAGCAAGGAATCTCTTGACCAATGCGTTAAATAACACGATTTCCGGTATACACAGAGCACGGATTGTTCTGACTCACACTCACTGAAAACGCACAGGTCACGTAATTTTTTTAAATGAAAGTTACTTTTGAGTAAACATTAATCTTGATTTAAAGAAGCTGATCTAAGCGGCCTTCTTGGCGCAGCAGCACGTCAGTATCGTAATCTCAAGGAAGCTGATACTTATTTAATGTCTCCCAACAACTTCCTTAGGGGAACAGACAAGTAATAACCGACTGTTTGGATTTGGAGGGCTGACATTGATGGGCAAATGCCTGTCTTCCCAAACAGAACCACTCCCCACGCTCATTCTGGCCCTCCCTCCAGAGAGAGCTTTCAAAAAATGCTCTCTCTTCAATGATTTTCCTTTATACCAAAACCAGAAACTTCAAGATCCTTGCCAAGCTCTCACCCCAGAACCTCCCACCCTAGTGCCTCCCCTCGGGCCGGAGGCAGTGGAGGGGGCCCCTCAGCCCCACCAGGGCCTTGACGGTTACACAGCCTCAGCTATTAATCCACCTGCAGCGTCACCAGCCCCTGCAGCTGACTTTGGCTCTCTCTCCTGCTAAAAAGCAGGGATGGCGGCACTTACGTCTTAGGGTTGTTGTAAAGAGGAAGTGACACAGTCCACAGAGAGCCCTCGCACCAGCCTGGCAGCACCAGCCTGGCGTGCGGCAGGTGCTCAGCAGACGTGCACCCAGGAGAGGATGAGGCCATCCTTGACCTGGTGCACAACCCCGCGCAGAGCGAGCGCGCAAGAGATGTGTCGAATAAACCCCCACAACTCTTCAAATCTCTAAAACAGACTTAAAATCTGTTTTACTAAAATGCTCAAAACAAGTGGGCTTCTGTTGGGGTGGAAACAGACTTCGGGAAACGGTTCTGGGATGTGGCCGAGGAGCAAAGGGTCTGGTTTAGATTGTACAGTGCCCAGACGCGGACGGCCAGAGTCCGGTGTCTTCCTGAGTCCGCACGCAGCTTCTGGAGGCGCAGCTTATCTCCACCGCCATCGACTGATCAACAAATCAATCAACCTCAACTCAATTCTGGTAAAACCTGCAGCACCAACAACAATCCAGGAGGCACCGGAAAAAGCAATGGGAAGAAAATCTCCTTTGCCTTTGAGATAGTCAGGCTGGTCCTGCCCCTGCATGACCCGCCCCCCCCCCCGCCCCCCCAGGCAATGGGTGAGAGTTAGTGCTATGACCTCTCCCAGTAAGTGCATCTAGGACATGGGCGGGCGGTGGGTTTGCACGTGGGATGGTGAGAGCTCAGCGTCACGAGGCCCATTCCTCCGAAGCCTGGGAAGTGCCCACAGAACAGCGCTCCGTTCACTGGCGTCCCTCCATCTGAGGTCTCCTCCCTTGTGGGAGCCACGGCCACTCTGAGCGAGAGGCAGCGCTCACTTCAGAGCAGAGCAATGAGGCTGGTGGCTGGACGCAGTGGGGCCAAATCAGGTCAGGCCAGCTTCCCTCCGTCCCCTCCTCCCTCCCACCTCCCCCGCCCCCACCCCGCCCCGCCCCGCCCCGGCCCTGCCCCTTCAGAGATAGATGGTGGAGCTGGATCCAATCACTTGGCTTGAATCCTCTGGTCGGCAGCAGCCCAAGTGTGTACGAAGACTTTTTTTTAATGGCTCTTACTAGCCGACGTTGGCCCTCACCACCCAAACAGGAGACATGTAGGAAGATCCAGTTTCCTTCTACTGTCAAAGATAGCAACTTGGGAAACATCCCACCAGAGTGTCTTCATGGAAGTCTGTGTAACGCTCGCTTCTATACTCTTCTGCCTAAAGGCCCAACCTAGTCAGCCCTTATGAATGACTGGAGAAAAATATGCATTCCGGGGCCCTGCCCTCAGACACACCCCTGGGTGGTCCGTGATGCCTAGACCAGTTAGTTCCCTGTGCTCTTTGGAGGTGAAAATAATGAGACTCAGCCTTGAGTAGTGGCCACCTCGGCTGAGGAGCTCGATTGGTTAGAGCGTCATCCCCATTCGCCAAGGTTGCGGGTTTGATCCTCGGTCAGGGCACATATAAGAAGCAACCACTGGCCCTGGCTGGCGTAGCTCAGTGGATTGAGCGCGGGCTGAGAACCAAAGTGTCGCAGGTTCGATTCCCAGTCAGGGTACACGCCTGGGTTGCAGGCCATGACCCCCAGCAATCACACATTGATGTTTCTCTCTCTCTCTCTCTCTCCCTCCCTTCTCTCTCTAAAAATAAATAAATAAAATCTTTTAAAAAGTAATATAATTAAAAACAAAAAAGAAGCAACCACTGAATGCAAAAATAAGTGGAATAACAAACTGATGTTTTCTGTCTCCCCGCCTCCCCAATCAGTAAAAGTTAAAAGAAAAATTAAGTCACAGCCAGAGTAATATCAAAGGGTCTTTCCAGAATAATCAAAGCAGCCTCATGAGTATTTTAAGTAATATACTTAAACAAAAAATTCTCTAAAGTGGATCTTATTTTCAGGCAAAGGTGGGTGGGAAAGGCATATCCCCCCAAAACATTCTCTGAGAAACAACTCCCTTTCCAGGAAAAAATGAAAAAAAAAAAAAGAAACAAAACAAAACAAAACACTTTCCACAGTTCCCGCTTTAACACACTACTCAACGTGAAGGATGCACAAGGGTTACCCGGCGGCTGAAGGATGAAAGCCACTCCTCTCCCCTAGGACCGACGGACACCGAGGTTGACCTGCACCCATCGACCTGCCAGCTCGGCCCCCGCCCGAGTGGGGGCGAGACGGCCGGCTGGAGCGGCAGGACTCCGAGCTCGCTACCCACTCAAACCCCCTCACGCAGTTTAAGTTCCAGGGCAGACAACGCTTTCCAGATAGTGACCTCTGGCAGACTAAAGGAAAGACAGGCTTAAGATTCCACCTTTAGAAATTCAAACCTGGGGGTGGGGTGACAGGCTCTCCAGTGTCCTCCGTTCGTTCAAATGCAAATCATGACGGTTCCCGGGGAGCTCCAGTCACCAGCTTGACGGGAGAAAGAGGAAAAAGGTGCCCAATGGCGGTGGTCGATGGCTGGGGGTCTTTCTGGCGCCTTAAGTCCTACAAATACTGAAGGTCGCAGTCACTCCTGTTGGCAAGGAAGCTCACGGGCTCCGCAACCAGCTGCCCAGCAGACAAACAACCCAAAGGCCCAGGGTGCTGACGCGCCTGAGCCTCCCGGGCGGCTTTCCACGCCGGCTCCTCCCGGTTGGCTGGTCCCCAGAGCAGGTGGACCCGGCGGGCACGCCCACATCCCCACAGCGCGGCGGACAATGAGCGGGTCTCCTCCGGCCCCATCCCTAGACAACCAGCTGTCACCAAGGCCTGCGCGGCCAGGGAGGAGACCGGGCAGGACAGCTCATATCATTCCTGCCCAGCCTCCAGCTGGCGGCTGGCGGCTGGCGGCCCAGCGCCGGCGCCCCCGCCTCCACTTGCGGGAATGCCTGCGTTGCCGAGTACCGGGCGCCGGAAGGGGCTCCCGGCCGCTCCTCTAGACCCCTTATTCCAAAGGCTTCCCTCCCTATGGCCGGGGGAGCTCGAGATTGCTCAGCTCAAGCCAAAGACAGGCACAAAGACAGGCTGAGGGGGAGCACGGCTCAGGGATCCGGTCCCCATGCGCATCCCCCGCCGTCCCCTTGGTGGCAGGTGCGGCATGGCCGCGGCGCCCTAGTCCCGCGGCCCTGCAGGTGCCGGCGGTGAGAAAGGGTCCCCGCCGATCGCCGTCCCTACGTCTCACCTGCGCTGCCCAGGCCGGCTCACCGCAGCCCTGCCGGGCCTCCATGGGCGTTTCCTGCTCGCGACTTCCTGGGGCGGCGCGTGCGGAAGCCCCGCGGCCCTTTCACTTTCCTGCGACCGCGGGGCGCCAGGCCGGGCGGCGGGTGCCGGCTGAGCCCCTCCCCTTCCCGATAATCTCCTCCCTGAACCGCCCCTCCCACCCCCCCCATCGGAGCCAGCCCAGGGTCCCAACCAGCCCTGGGGGCGCCCCCGCGTGGGCTGGTTGTTACCATCCACCACCCCCCACCCCCAGCCCTCAACCCGCCATCGCCCGCCCGCCCAAGATTCTTCCCGCAGTCCTGTGTCTTTGCACCTGCTCTCCAGCCAGCACAGGGACAGTTACTGGCATGTTCTCCACTGGCCAGCCACGAGCTCCCCAAGGGCCTGATGTCTTCCAGGTAGGTCTCACCCAACAGCAGCAGAGCAAGGCATTCCCCAGCAAGGACCAGCGCTGAAGAGGGCCTGCCTGACCTCCTGGCCTTGATTCCTACTGCCCCTTCTCAGGGGTCAGAATCATGACGGTAGCGTTCCATTAAGTGACAATGGACCCTGCCGAGAGGCTACCTTGAACCATCTTTTGTCCCAGGCAGCTCACCCGGCTGTGCTGGAGAACACCAGCCTGGCCCCAGTCACTTGAACCTGACCTCCCCCGCTCCCCGCTCCCCTGCTGGTGCCTTCACATCCCGGAACCATCCTTCTCCGAGTCCCACTCTTCCTGCCCAAAATTGACCTTGGGCAGCCGCAAGAAGGGCCAACTGCAGCCGGGCAGTGGAGTGCCTACAGAGCGCACTCGGCGCACACCGCGTCCAAACCCGGGGGCCCAGCCCCGGACGAGCGAGGGGAGGCAGAATCACACTGCAAATGAAGTTCCCGACCGAAGGCTGCCCCTGGTTAAAACTATTCTTGAGGCCACGACCAATCCAAGGCCGGGCTGCAAATGCCCCGAAAGGTCTGTATGGATGGTGCCCTGCACTTCCGGCAGGCTCACTGCCTTGCCCCGCCCAGAGGCCCCGCAGGCAGGTCTGGGGAAGACCTCCTCCTCCCTGCCAGACCTAAAACCCTCCCACTCCCTGCCGACCCCGTTTCTAGAGCACTCTAACACTGTTTTCTGTACGCTGAGTTGGGTCACGTCAAATGCACCCCTTCTTTTCACTTCTGAGGAGTGTTCACGCAGAAGGGACACCTGCTGGCCTCACTGTGGCTCCGGGGCCTTACTAAGGCACAGCCACAGGAGGCCTCCTGGCCGCCCCCGTCCCCACCCCCATCCTGCAAGAGCGCTGGCCCAGGGTCTCTGGGCTTCTCTCCCCTCTTTGCGAGGTCTCTTTCTGCGGACCTCCTCTCGCTCAGGCTCAGTCAACTCCTTCTCCTTCCCCTCATGCCCCGTTCCCTTCCCGGCACCTCCAAGCCAGCCGAGTCTGGCTCCCAGCGCCCCCCCGCCCCCGGCTGAGTCTCGGACTCACGCTGCTGTCTGCACACAGCTCTTCCTCTCTCCCAGAATTTGGGCATCAACCTCCGCGCTTCAAGCTCCCGCTCAGGCAACCCACTTTTCCAGCTCCTCCAACTGCCCCCCTGAGGCAGGGCAGATCCTGTCCTTCCGGATGGACACCCTTCCAGATCCCCCTCGCCCCCAGGAACGAGACCAAATTCTTGAGCAGCTGGAAAACGACGCCTTGCCCAGGGAGTGCGGACTCTCAGGCCCAGGCCAGCATTTCTGCCCTCTCCAGCAACCTTCACTGGGCTTCTGGGTACAGGAGACACCTCTGTATCCTGACTTATCACGTGAGTCAGGACTAGCAGTTTCTAAACCTCTCTCAGGGGTTGGAGGGGCTCTCGGGATGTGTCCTGACTCGGAGGGCACGGACTCACGCTTGCGAGCCCCACGAGTGACCGCAGCGCGGCACAGCACAGGGCGTCCCGGTGTGGTTCCACCTTCTCGTGTAGATAGCGGTGACACGTGTGGGGCACGCTGGGGAAACCAGAGGGCACCCCGTGCGGTCCAGGTCACCTTCGCTCGCTGAAAATATTGGCTTTTTAACTTTATAAAGATTAAGGCATTGATTGTTTATCAAATATTAATCTCTTATGTGATTATAAGAAACACTGAAACATGCATTAGAGGACAGAGGAAGCTTGTGTGAACTTCCACATGAAACAGTTCACATTCTGGGATGCAAACTTGTAATTGCTCCGGGGAGCATCCAGGTTGTGTGTGTGACACCGCCACACACAGCTCAGGACGCAGCTGGGACGTCACCATGGAGACACCTTCTCCACGCAAGGAGAGAGCTTGAAGCCGTTCTTCACAATCACACACATTCCATGACGGTTGAAGTATTTAAAGAATCTAACAACTCTTCCTCTTCTTTCACTGACAGGTAACATTAAAATTTCTAGTGAGCATCGAATGAATTTCTGATTCGGGTGGACTCCTCCTATCCAGTATTTCAGACGCATGACAGAGCATGCCAGGCTGGCGGCGGCGTGCCCTCGGGCGGCTGCTGACCCAGCCGGGGCCCGGGCCCCAGAGACATGAGCCCAGGTGCCCAGACTCCGGGCTGCCTGGAGCGCACTGCCAGGGCGGGACCCTGCTTCCGCCCGGAACTTCCACGCTGGCTTTGAGTCTGTTCTGACTTTATTTCAGTGAGAGGAGCAGATGGAATGAGAGGCGAGTCCCCTCCGACAGGTGTTCATGGGGTGCCCGCAGAGGCCGGCCCTGCGCCAGCACCCAGGCCTCAGAGTCAGCCGGGGGCCTTTGTCTTTGCCTCTGGAGAGTTCACAGAGCAAAGGGCAGGTGTCCCCTCAGAGGGAAGTTGATGTGACGGGGAGGAAGGGGCTTGTATTCACTCCCCAGGGCCACCCTGCAACAGCCTCGGCCTGGGCGGCTCAAGGCGACGGAAAGTCCGGAGGCCAGAAGTCCGAGATCGGTGTCGGCAGGGCTGCGCTCCCTCCGCAGGCTCCGGGCTCAGTGTCTTCTGGGCCTTCCCCTTAGCTTCGGGTGTTGCCGGCCACCCTCGGTGTGTCTCAGCTTGTAGCTGCACCACTCTGGTCCACTTCTGTCAGCCAGTGGTGTCTTCCTGTGTGTCTGCGCTCACACGGTCTTCCTTCCGTGTGTCTGTGTGTCTGTCTCTCTCCTCTCCCAAGGACGCCAGTCACGTTGGATTTACGGTGCCCCCTTCTCCAGTAGGACTTCTGCCTTACCAATTACATCTGCAACCCCTCTGTTTCCAAACAAGTTCCCGTTGTGAGGCCCCCGGAAGGACATGAATTTTGTAGGGGCACTACTTAACCCAGTGCTGAGCTGTTACGTAAGGTTCAGCAGGGTGTGGGGACATTAGTGGAAGAAATGCGCCCCAGGCTAGCAATGTGAGGAGGCTGGTAGCTCCCCAAAGCCTGAAGGACTGAGAGCTGAGGCCGCAGCAGAACTGCTGGAGGTTGGGGTGGGGATGTCTTTGGTAGGGAAGGCAGCTGGCTGTCTAATTACAGCCCAGCAGGGAAGGGAAGGTGAGAAGGAAAGGAAGGGGGGGGCAGTAACAGCCGACTTTCCTTTTCTCCTGTCCTCCCACCAACCAACCCCAGAGGGAGGTGGAGACCTATGGCCCCACTGGTGCCCCTCCCCTCAAGTGGAGGTGGCAGACTGGCGAGAGCAATCCCAACACTGCATTACATATTGTAGTGGAGGGCACTCCACTGGGTGCAGAGAGGGTCCCCTCACCCAGACTCAAAGGTCACAGGAGGTGACATCTCAGGAGCACAAGGCAAGCCGAGGGCCGGTCTGGGGAGTGTTGAGGGTGCGAGTGACGTGGAGGGGGCGGGCCGGGAGCTCCTGCAGCGATCCAGACCGCAGGTGATGGCCGTTGGGGAGTGCACATTCCAGAAAGGTGTAGAAGGGGAGAGAAAGGGGAGGCGAGGGAGGGAGAGGAGCCGGGGATGATCCACAGGTGTCCGGCTTGGACAGCTGAGGGGATGGTGGAATCTTCAGGAAGAGAGGAAACACAGAAAGGACAAACAGACTCGGGGGCGGGGCTGGGCTAGGAACTGATTCGCACTTGCTGAGCGTTCGGCTCCTGGGGGAGCTTCTCCGTCTTCCACGAACCAGGGTTGGACGTGTGGGTCTGCAGACTCTGGCAGAGCCCCAGCCAGAGAAGGGGCCCTGGCGCTGCCAGCAATGACGGCAGGGGACTAGACTGAGTTCCCGGGGGTGCCAGTATTTCAGGGTCAGGCAGGGAGGAGGGGCTGGGAGCCACCGGTGGAGCCGTGGGAAAAGCCAGGGGCGTGTGACGTCCAAGAAGCCCAAGGAAGGCGGCGTTTCCAGAAGGGGCGAGAGTGGGCCGTGGAGTCGGGCACTGCGAAGAAGTCAGGGTCTGCGGGCTTCCCCCCGAAGATGAGGGCTGATGCCTCTGCGGGGTGGGCTGGGCTGGGGCGCGGTGGGCGGGCGGCAGACTGCTGCGGGGATTGAGGGGGGGGGGGTGAGAAAGAGGAGGCAGCGGGGAGCAGACGACCGAGTCCAGAAGGGCGGAGAGACCGGCCCAGAGCTGCGGAGGGCCGGGGGAGGAGCAAGGGTGCTTTGAAACGTATGGGTATCTGCAAGCACAGGCGGAAGTCAAGAGGACAGTGCAGCGCAGCCCCGGGCACCCGTCCCCCAGCCGCGCTGGTTATCACTCCGTGGCCAGTTTTGTTTCCTTTCTGTTTTGACCCACTCTCTTCCCCCACCCCCGGGATTATTTTGCAGGAAATTCCAGACATGATAATATTTCGCTTGTAAAGTTTCAGTATGTTATCTCCAACTGTATGGTTTTAGATGTAACCACAAGACCATCATCCTGGTTCCCCAGCAACAAGAACAGCTGCGTAACAGCATCCAACGTCCAGCCCGTGTTCTCACGTCCCTGTCCCATCAACGTCCTGGCTCTCAGTCTGGTCGTTCAGTGGGGCTCCAAACAGGCCACGCGTGTGCTGTGTGCTGTGTCTCCCTGGTCTCTCGCCCCGCCCCAGCCACGGGCTGCCATGGCTGTCACGGAGGCCAGGCCGTTTACCGTGCAGTCTCCCACACTCCGCATTGTGCCGACTCCGACTTTACGACACGGTC